ATTGGACTTGCTAAAGAGAAAGCTAGACTATACTACCTAGAAGAACATAACAAATCTAGAAACAACTATTCCATGTTATCCCTAGTTGATAGGAAATCTACTATCTGGCTTCATCATTATAAATTAGGACATTCGTATTTTGATGTCCTAAAATATATGTATACAAAACTTTTTCAAACATTATAAAATGAACTTTTTCACTATGAAACTTGTGAGTTTGCCAAGCATAAAATAACTTCTTTTCCAAATATAAATGAAACATGTGATACCCCTTTCTATCTTATTCATAGTGATATATGGGGACCCTCAAAATTCCCCAACATCTTTAGAGAATGCTGGTTGTATCGTTCATCAATGATTGTACGAGAGTCTCTTGGATCTACCTCATCAAAAATAAATCCGACATTAGCACCATTCTTCTCATATTTCACACCATGATCCAAAATCAAATTGGGATAAAAATAAAAAAATTTCACTCAGATAATGCTAAAGACTATTTCAACCAAACCCTATCCTCCTACTTCCAAAAAAAAAGTATCATCCATGAGCCCTCCTGTGTTTATACCCCACAACAAAACGAGGTTGCATAAAGGAAAAATGGTCACCTTCTAGCCTTTACTAGTGTTTTCCTATTCCACTACAATACACCCAAATCTTATTGGGGGGAAACCCTCCTAACCGCCACGTACCTCATAAACCACCTAACTTCAATAGCACTGGGACTAAAGACTCCAATGGAGATCATGCCCACCTTTTACCCAGAGTTTCGCATCCATAATAACCTTACACCCATAATCTTTTGGTGCACTTATGTTCATATTCACAACCAAAATAGAGGAAAGTAGGACCAAAGAGCACTCAAATGCATCTTTGTTGGATATTCTGACACCCAAAAAAGGCTTACAAATATTATCATCCTCCCACAAAAAGAACCCTTGTTTTTGTTAATGTTACCTTTGATGAACAAAATTTCTATTTTACCAAACATCATCTTCAAGGGGAGAATGAAATTAAGGAAGATGAGAGAAGTAAGCTTGCCCCTGTTGAGCTTCCTCCACCATCTCAAACCACTTCTTATGAAGTCAAAAACAAGGAGACGGACGACAAAGCTGTCAATAGATTAGGGAAGGTATATTCCAGACGTACAAGTTCAAACTGCACTCTGAAGCATATCCAAGAATTTGAACCATCTCTTGAAATTAAGATAAATTCACCACCTCCCATGCACCCTATAACTAACTTTAGCTCCTTCAATAATTTCTCATCCTCACACAAAAATTTCTTAGTTACATTAGAAGAAATTCATATTTCTAATAATGTTCTTAAAACCTTATCCGATAAAAAATGAAAAAATGCCATAAAAGATGAAATGTAAGCTCTAAAAAAGAACAATACATGGGAAATTATCAACCTAACAAAAGGGAAAAAACCTGTTGGCTGCAAATGATTATTCTCTATAAAATACAAGGCTGATGGGACACTACAAAGGTACAAAGCAAGACTAGTGGCAAAAGGGTACATGCAAACATATGACAATGACTACCAGGAAATCATTGCATTGTAGCCAAGATGAACATTGTCAGGATCTTACTCTCACTAGCAGCTAAATACAACAGGCATCTTGAAGAACTAGATGTCCAGTACAACAAAAACAACAGCATAAACATAAATTGTCTTGCACATAAAGTTTCAACTATTCAATAGAAGGAATGATATGATTAGCTTCTTCAGTGGTTTGTCTTTGAACTTCTATATCATCTTCAATAAATATCATAACTTCTAATTTAGGGTAATTAAGTGAAAGATTAATAATTTCTAATATTCCTATATCATCAAGAGACTCAAATACATCTCGGAAATGAGAGAACCTAGCTCGCAATCTCGAAAGTAAATATGATGGGTCCTTTTTTACATTTTTTTTGTTTTTCAACGAACACTCGTATCAGATGCGCGTGTCCTTTTGAAATTAAATAGTATTTTAATCGGATACGACAAAGTCGTATTCGACACATATCGATGCCGTATCGGAGGTGTATCTGTGTATCGGTGTATCAGATACAACACGCCTTCATAAATAGGTGTATCATTTCAACATAGTATGCAGGTTGAAAAATGCCCTATATGGGTTAAAACAGTCACCTAGAGTCTGGTTTGAAAGATTCTCCAAATTCATGCTTATTAACGAATATCGACAAAGTCAAGGGTATTATAGAGTATTCTTTAAACACTCAGACTCGGGGGTAATTACAATATTATTAGTGTATATGAATGATATTATCATAACTGAAATAATGAAAAGGAGAGATATTCTCAAAAAAATTCTTATTAAGGAGTTCGACATCAAATAACTTGGTAGACTAAAATACTTTCTTGGAATCGAAGTAGCTCACTCCAGCAAAGGAATCTTCATCTCACAACAAAAATATATTAAAGATCTTATGAAGGAAACAGGAAAACTAGCTTGTAAATCAGCACCAACACCAATTGAACAAAATCTCAAATTGGGATATCCACCACAGACTTGTAGGGCAATTGATCTATCTTTCTCATACCAGACTAGATATAACATTTGTCGTCAGTATGGTCAGTCAGTTTATGCAAAATCTAAAACAAATTCATATGCAAGCACTAGACAGAATACTGCACTACCTTAAAGGTAACCTAGGGAAGGGATTCTCTTTAAAAGAGATCAAGAAATAACCCTAGAGGCATACACTGATGTGGATTACGCAGGATCACCAGTGGACAGAAGATATACTTCTGGGTATTGCACATTCCTGGGAGGAAACCTAGTCACATGGAGAAGTAAGAAGCAGAACGTGGTGGCAAGATCCAGTGCAGAAGCAGAATACAGAGCTATGGCCCTGAGAATATGTGAGGTCCTATAGATCAAAATGATTATGGAAGATCTGAAGATCAAATGGGACAACCCCAGAAAATTACATTGTGACAACAAATAAGCAATTAACATAGCTCACAATCCAGCCCAACATGACAAAAACAAGCACATAGAAGTTGACAGACATTTTATAAAAGAAAAATTAGACACTTGACTCGTATGTATTAACCATGTATCATTAAGAGATCAACTTGCAGATATCCTTACCAAAGGAGCAGACAATGTTGTCTTTCTCAGAATGATAACCAAGCTAGGATTGAAAGATCCATATCTCTCAGCTTGAAGGGGAGTGTTAAAATCCAGCCGTTCAAATGCAAACAAATCCAATGGTTACAGTGGTCAATCCGTGGGACGCAGGACTCACGACATAATACTTTCTATATTCGGGGAGCTGATTTAGGAAGGATTATATTAGAGTTATTATGTAATTATTTGTTTTTGTATTAAGATATCTTGTATAGATCTATAAATAGGAAAGAAATCATGGAATAAAACTAAGCTTTTCTTCTCATACCTCTGTTTTTAACAATTAGGATAGCTTGTCTTTCAATTTAATGATATTTCATATTCATGCTTATTATTTTATAATTCTTGTATAGTTTGCGCCATGTTAAAAAAAGTGCGTCGCGCAGTGCGTATGCGTCATGGCTCCAAAGAGATCATTGTGCCTTGGTGCGCCATTTGCGGATTCACCCAATTAGTTTGTTGTCAAACAAAATTGCCTGATCAATCTGGTCTGCCATACCTTTTTTTTAACCAGGTGTTTATATCTGTCATTATGATCTGATCTACCAACCTTGAATCAATTAGTTTAACACAACTCTAGCCTTATGTAAGGATGTTTAATAAACCACCACAAGCAACTAGAAAGCAATCCAACAGATCCACATATTAAGCATGGTCGCAAGCATGTGTCACACCAAAACCATGCTGCCATGACGATAGGATAAATCTTTAAAACTTGGGCTAAGACTTGTGACTGGTTAAAACATCTTATGTAGATAAGTATACACGTATGGTATATAAGCATATAGCATATATATCTATGAGTGCCACTAAAGGTGATGGCCGCTGAAACAAATAAAAAGAGGGAGGGAGGGAGGGAGAGAGAGAGAGAGAGAGAGAGAGAGAGAGAGAGAGAGAGAGAGAGAGAGAAGCTATAACTGCTTATGAAAACCAGAGATCCCTTAGTAATAAAGTTAAAGAAATAGAGCTTAGGAAAATCATACTTACCACTAAATATAAAATTTAAACAATTTCAATGTTTAATAAAAGATACTAATTTTATATTACCAACTAAATCTCGATATTTACAGATCTGCTCAAACATTCAAGGTTTAGCCATATCATGCCAGTATCAGATTAAAGCCAAGTGATGTGCACATGCAAAGAAAATCATATCATAATCCTACATTTATAGTCAATACTTAGTAGCAGTACCATATACATAAGCTATCATAACAAGCAAAAACAGTAAGAAAAATGTCTATTAGGCTTTCTTTGGGACAACTTCTAGTCACTGTCTTTTTGTTGCTTTCAAAAAATAATTATACTAAAATGTTGCTATAAAAAATAGTAAGAAAAATGTCCCAAACTTAACCTTAATTATAACCAAAGCACATTAATAAGTTGTCCGGGAAGAGTTTATAAGTGCCGAGGATATTTTTAATAAACAAAAAAGGGGCCAAACTGTAAACAAGGTGTTTAATGCTGACTTTCTTTCATTGCCCAGTTGTTTATCAAGCCCACAAACTACATGGCAACTTGAGGGACCCAATATGATTGCTATTACCACCTAACCAAAAATCATCTTTTCTTTTACTTTTTTTCTTAAAGCAAAAGAAAAGAAACCACCTTTTCGACAAAATAAATTAATATATACAAGCCTTTTACATATTTCCATCAATATCAAGACAGGTCCAATAACACAATCTTTGACGAAAAAGTTGTGCAAAACTAAAAATGTAAAATAAAAAAAAATCAGCTTGTTGAAAGATCAGTAGCAACTTACAAATTTAAGTTTCATGCATAACAAATTATCACAGAAGTAAATGGTATTTCTAAGAAAAAGCTTTCTACAAATAAAGTTTACCATACTTACATGAGGAGGCAGTGTTATTCGGAACCAGTAAAGCAGATAATCCACCAATTTTTCATAACAACCGCTGTAACATGCAAAATTCTTAGTTGAGTTCCAAGTAATGTCCAGCAATCATTTAAAACACAAGAAGATCGTTAACAAAAAAATTTATAGATTCGAGAAAACCCCCATTTTAGGTAAACCCTTTCACCTCCTTACACTGGAAATCCTAGTTGCATTACTTAAGGCCATTATTATAGATTTCAATTATAAGGTTCATATCTGCATAATCATACTGCAGATGGATCAGAATAATAGGCCCTCACTATATTCAAAACTTACTTGCAAAGAGGTGTCTTAGCAGTTATAGCTTCCGGATGATTCAACTGTAAATTTGACATATCTGCAAGAACAAAATTTATATGATAAAATTAAAGTAATATGATAATTCATCCACTTTGGTACAACATGCATCCAAACAATAAAAAAACTTGGCCGATACAACACAAGAACAAACCTATTCACCACTTCTAAACAATAAATTTTTTTACCAATTTCTTTGTTGATGAATTTTGCAAACCATTCAGAAAGCACGGCCTGTAATGTCTTTCCAGTTTCATTTATACACCTTTCTGTTACCTAGAAGAACATTCATCCGAGAATCAATAGTTGCACTTCTCAAAACATGCAAATATAACTATAAAAAATGTTAGAAGTTCTATGGACCAAGTTTTATCCAAAGAGAGGTGACTGTACATCTATTTCATACTGATTATTCTGGTGGACTGAACCTGGAATTCTTGCAGTGTAGCGCTCCGAAATCTGCAACACAAAGAACGTCATTAATATTTGATTCAAGCAAAAATGAAAACTAGTATCTTATAAATAAATGCTAAAATCGACTATCTGAACATCAGATGATTGGTTGACTTTAATGCAAATTAATTCTGGTAATCCATCATATATAGAGTTATGCTACAATTTTTTTAAGAAGAATGAAAGCATTTATCCTCATACATCTTATATCATTCATCTAGATTTAAAGTAGATTTTAAATTTTTAAATATAACATTGGTAGGTGAAAAATAAAGATGTCGACTTTAAATTTCAACCATTCAAAGAAATGGACGAACAATGTATGATGTGTGGAGATAAATATTCCTATCCTTCTTAAACTCTCATATAAGTATACATAGATATGCATGCAAGAAATGTGCATGCAAATAAAATTTCAGAATGCATCAATATAAAACAAACAAAAAGATTAATGTCAACGGACTGACTACACTAGCCTTAATGATGATTCCCAATGAGGGAATGAGGAGAATTTTCTGTCGCGCCAACATCAAGCTTATAGGAATCACCATAGAAATGAATTCAGAATTATTAGACTCACAAAAATATTGTTCTTGGAATCAATAAGAAATAAGTAAGCTCTCACTTCAAAAGATTTTACAACAGATAAATGGAAAACAAGCCGATTCCAATAAGAACTATTTCATTCATTTATTCATCATAAGATAAATCAATTACAACTTTTAGATTAAAACTAAAACAGTTAAAAAAAAACACTGTTTACAAAAGTAAATTAAATAGAAGAAAATCAAATATAAATCAAAACAGTAATACAACTTTTAGGACCCGTAAAACTCCAGCACTGATATAATGACCTAAACACTGTTGATGCTACTACAATATTGGGCACAGTGCTCACGGGTCGATCCCTGTTGAACTCAAGGTGGGCAAATGCCCACTCTCAAAAAAAAAAGTAATGAAGAGGATATTTTCAGTATTTTTTCCTCCCTCAAAAAACATATTTGCCCTAATTTTATAAATCCTACCCATCCCGCCAGACACATGCGTTCGCTCGCTTTCGCGAAATCGCATTCGGCATTCCAGTTGGTTGCCGCCTTCGTCTTCACAGCCGTCTCCTCTTCTTCCCATTCAATGTTCAAGACTTTGCAGCCCTCTCCTCTTCTTCCCATTCGACGTTCAAGAGATCTCAATTCACACTTCGCATCGCCTAGCAAGCAAGTCGCAACCTCTGGCTCTTCATAATCGCAACCTCCGGCTCTTCATAATCGCAACCTCCGCCTCTTCGCAGTCACTACCTTAGGCGCTCGTCTCCTATTGAAGGCAGGGGCAGATACATCCTTTTTTAGGATGGGCAAACTCAATATATAAAAAGTAAATACCGAAAAATTATTTCTACATCTTCTCGTACTGCATGTCCACGAGCCTTGAATTTTGAATCCATATTTGAAACTTCAATTTCAAAAATATTATAAAACACGACACTTCTTCAAGTAAAGGTTCTCATCCATTTTCTTCATCATCTACAATCGTTGCTTGAACACTTAGACCAATTTCATTGCATTTATAATATCTTGATCATTTTTTTTTATAAAACTTATAATAATTTGTTTGTAATCTCTAAAACATCAATCATTAAAAACAGTGTCAAAATAAAGTCAAATGATTCAATTTCATGTATTAAAACACCTGTTTCAACTGATTATTGATCATGTGTCCCCTCTTCCTTGACAATTTCAAGCACTTCGAGTACAGAAGCATACATTTTTGTTAAACTGATTAATGTTTGAAAATACGAACTCCAACGAGTGTCACCAGCACGATGCAAATTGGTTTCTTGGTTCAAACCTCAACCACTAATTAACTCTCTACTGCTTGAATGAAAAATTATTTTGTCATGCTGAATTACTTTTAGAGTATCATTTCTCTTGCATGAAGCTCCAACAATATTGACAATTCTTGAAGTAATCTCAAATAAATATTTTACTTACCAATGATTCTTTGTAACATACACTAAACATAATTAGAGTTGATGAATAAAACAATGTATTTAGAATGTCTGAGAATTTTCTTTCAAAATGAGTGATTTCAAATAATTAAACTCAACCCATATATTACATGCTCCATCATAACCTTGTCCCCGTATTCTATGTATATTTAACGAATATTTTACAAGAAGAGCTTAAATGGTGCCTTGAGTGCTACTACATTTGTTGAATATACATAATGCATACCAATAAGCATCTCAATAATCTAGCCCATTTTGTCTACATATCACACTGCAATAGCTAATTGTTCTTTTGTAGACACATCACGGGACTCATCAATTAAAATAGTGAAGTAAGAATCAGCAATATCTTTCATGATTACAGTCAAGGTCTCAGCAGCCATAGAACTACAAATTTTTTTTAGATTTTATGTGCAATCAATTTTAACTTAGCACTTACATTTTCAAATATAATTTTTTTATCTCTTTATTATGATTAGCAAGAAACTGAAATAGTCTATACAATTTCCTATGGGCATGATGAATCATCTAACTCTGATAACCAAGGAAATTATATAGAACTGTTTCAATTTTTTACTAATCATAATGAAAAGCTAAAAAAAATTACATGTGAAAATGCAAGTATTAAGTTAAAATTGATTGCATCTAAAGTCCAAAAAGAGATTTATAGTTTATGACTGCTAAGACCTTGGTTGTAATCATGAAAGATATTGTTAATTCTTACTTTACTATTTTAGTTGATGAGTCACATGATTTGTCTACAAAAGAACAATTAACTGTTGCAGTGCGATACATAGATAAAATGAGGCAGGTTCTTGAGAGGTTCATTGATATGCATCATTTATCTTCAACAAATACAGTAGCACTCAAGGCATCAGTTGAAGCTCTTCTTGCAAAACATTCGTTAAGTATACATAGAATACGAGGACAATGTTACCATCTAATATGCAAGGTGAGTTTAATGGTTTGAAAGCAATCATTTTAAAAGATAATCCTTAGGCATTCTATATACAATGTTTTAATCATCAACTCTAATTATGTTTGATGTTTGTTACAAAAAAATATTGTAAATAAAGTATTTATTTGAGATCACTTCAAGAATTATCAATATTGTTGGAGCTTTATGCAAGAGAAATGATACTTTAAAAGCAAGTCAACGTGACAAAATAATTTTTCATTTAAACAGTTGAGAGTTAATTAATGGTCGATGATTGAACCAAGAAATCAATTTGCATCGCATTGGTGACACTCGTTGGAGTTCGCATTTTCAAACATTAACCAGTCTAACAAAAAAGTATGATTCTATACTCAAAGTGCTTGAAATTGTCAAGAAAGAGGGGATACATGATCAAAAATCAGTTGAAAAAGATGTTTTAATACATGTCATAGAATTATTTGACTTTATTTTGGCATTATATTTAATGATTGATGTTTTAGGGATTACAAATGAATTATTATAAGCCTTATAAAGAAATGATCAATATATTATAAATGTAATGAAATTGGTATAAGTGTCTAAGCAACGATTGCAAATGTGGAGGGAAAATGGATGAGAGTCTTTACTTGAAGAAGTGTCACATTTTTGTAATGTTTTTTTGAAATTGATGTTTCAAATATGGATTCAAAATTCAAGGCTCGTGGATGGTCAATACGAAAAGGTGCAGAAATAATAAACTTTCATCATTAACGAGTTGATTTATTCTACACTATAATTGATATGCAAATTTTTGAACTTAATAACTAGTTCTCTGAAACTAGTACCGAGTTACTTCTTTGAGTGACATGTTTAAATCAGAGTAATATGTTCTCTGCCAACGGTAAGGGAAAGTTAATTCATTTTACAGAGTTATATCCGACAGTTTTCTCTATAGTTAATTTTGTGTCTCTTGAATATTAACTATGTACTTATATTATTGATAAGCGTACAAGCAATGAGTTTACATCTTTGACTAGTATTGCTGCTCTTGCAAAGCAGACTGTAAAGGTAAAAAAAATATTGTATATCCCCTGGTTTATAAACTTATTATTTTGACACTGACTTTACATGTTGCTAAAGCTACGGTGGAGAGAGCATTTTCTGCAATGAAGATTATTAAGCATCGATTGCATAGCAAATGGGTGATGATTGGCTTAATGACTGTCTAGTGTCAGATATTGAGAAAGAAGTATTTGATTCTATTCCAAAAGAAAACATTACACAACATTATCAAAAAATGCAAAATTTGTATTTTTTTTTATTTCGTAAATTATAATGAAATAAAAGACATTACTTAGAATTTTGCTAATGATATATATATATATATATATAATTTTTTGGTATTTACTTTTTATATATTGAGTTTGCCCACCCTAAAAAAAAGGCTGAATCCGCCCCTGAAGTCGGTGCTAGTGAACCATGTGCATATAGTTATAAATAATTTGAATTTAAGATAACTTAAAATTTAAAGAAAAAATTACTAACTAGTAAAATTTATGATGCAGCCTCACCTCGATAACTGAAAAATCCAACTTCCACCATCAGATTTAGGATTTCTTAATGAAATTAATATAACACATGGTACAAATACATGCAAAGAAAATTTAGGATTATACCACAAAACCACCAAAACAATTCAATCTCTCACTTTCTTCAAATGTAAATAGGTTAAGAAGAACTAAAATCCAGTCAATAACAAAAAAAATTAAGGAATTAGAAAAAAACATAAAATCATAAAACAACAACAACATCAAGCTTTTTTCTCACAACATAGGGTCGGCTACATGAATCCTACTAAGAGTCAAATTCTCATTAAAATCAAATTAAAAAAAGGTTATTTCTAATACTTTCTAACCAAGTCTATTTAGTTCTACCTAAACCTTTCTTAATATAGGTCATATGTAATACATCTACTCTTTTAACCGAGTCATCGCAAGACCGATGTTTTGCAACCAAACCATCTAGGTGACTCTATCTAATCTTATATACAACTGGAGCTACTCAAACCTTTCACATATATGCTCGATTAGCATTCTACTTCTAAGCGTAAAGCCACTCATCCAAGCCTCTCTTTTAATAGCCAACATTATGCGCCATAAAGCATTGTAGATCTCACCACCATCTTATAGAATTTTCCCTTAATTTTGTGGGGTATTTTTCTATCATACAATAGGCTCGATGTACTCCTCCACTTCAACCATCTAACTTGAATTCTACTAATAATATTCACATCTATTTCATCATCACTTTTAATAATAGACCTGAGATATCTAAAATGTATACTCTTTTTAATGACTTGGTCTCCCAAAGTCACAATTTTCACTGTATCTTTTACTACTAAAATTACACTAGTCATATGTTTTCTCCAAATCAATAAATATCAGATGTAGATCCTCCTTACTCTCTCTATACTTCTCCATCAAAACTCTCAACAAATATATAGCTTCCATAATAAACCTACCGAATATGAATTCAAATTGATTTTGAGAAACATTAGAAAACAAAATAATTTTAATTTCAACAAATTAGATTTTGGAGGTTAGTATGAACTTCATATTAGGTTTAACATGGATATTAAATAAGTTTCAAACAATATCATGAAATAAGTTGCTATATTAATTTAATAAACTATTAAGTGAGCATTTAATTGAGCTTCTAATGGAACAACAAAAGAGTACATTTAAAAAGATTAACAAATATTCAATATCCAAATTTGTTCATTTATATGTCAAGTGCCCTCCATTATATTCATCGTTGCTCAATTACCTAAGTAAATAAACATAAATGAGCTTTAAGAGAATGGGTATCAATTGTTCATCAAATGTAGTGCTTCACAGACACCCTACTGAAGAAACTATTAGGGCCTTTATTGGGTACCTGTAACGACCCCAATCAAATCAAGACCAGAACCTAGGCTCCCGTCATGATATCCTAACCTCCTTTAAAAATTATATTTAAATAAAATAAAATAAAAAAATAAAAATAAAAAATCTTATATAATACCCTAGCGTCTAAATGATATCAAAACATATGCATGAAAATGCATATCTCGATTAGGATAAGTTGAGTGATAATTTTTATATCATTTAGATATTTATAGTGCAAATAAGAAGATTTAGATTACAAATATATAAACACATAAAAATTCTGTGGTACACAACTCAACTTTTTATTTTAATTTATGAATTCAAGAAAATTAACTGAGTATGCACAAGCCATTATAGATTTCATATTTGTGGCATATGCCTTTCAAATTTGTGGCACATGCCTTTGGAAAAGAATATGGATTCTAGAAAATTAAAATAGTATAGACATGCCTTTCGATATATCAAATTTGTGACACGTGCATTAGGAAAAAAATTAATAATATTCAATATTCAAATTTATTCATTTATATGCCAAGTGTTCTCCATTATGTTCAAGCTAGCTCAACATATCAAGTATTTCTTCCTTCACTAATTAATGCTTAGTATGCAAATAAGGAGCCTTATTGAAATGCTTGAAATCCACATTCATATTGATGGGACTGCCTTAAGATCCATGATATGTCGAAATTAGTACCTGAAATTAACCCATAACACCTAGGTTTTGATCCTCTAACAAGCATAAAACTATGCTTATATTTATATTGAGCTTTTCTGTAATCTTCTTATATATATATCAAATAGAAGGATTAAATGCACGATTTTACATAGTCACAGACAATGAAAATGAAAAAAGTTCTAGAAGAATGCTCACAGGCTTGAGTGTTTCTGGATTGCAAATTATATTAAACTCATTCCAATCCATCCCCTGAGACAGCCAGTAAGCCCCACAAAATGCTCTATTACAGCCCAGGCCTGCAAGAAAGAAGGAAAGGCGTTGCTAGCAACTCAATGAGCAAAATAACAAGTGGTCATAGGAGTTCAAAATAAACAAGTTTTGCATTGAAAGATAATGGGTAAAATAAGCATATATTATGAGAAAGGGTAAATAGATAAGGCTGGACTGCTTTATCTTGAGAAATATGAATAACATTTAAAGCAGCGTCAAGTTTAACCAAAAACACTGAATACCCAAATAAAAAGTGGAGACTATTTGGCAATGTAGTGAAGTCGCTGAGCCATGCAAAATCAAAAGTAATATCATGTGCAGAATTCACCAAAGTTGCATCCTCTCATATACACTCTGCCTCCTTTCCTCACAAAGCACTTATAATTGATGCAGGGCATCTTAGGCTTCGTTTGGGACAACTTCCTTACCACTTTTTAAAACAACTTTTTAGTGAAAAAACTATTTGAACTAGAAAAGTTTGTACTAAAGAGCTATTTTAAAAAACAATAAGAAAGTTGTTCCAAACGAAATCTTATACTTGAAAGTTTTGAATACAACTAATACAATACAATGAAGGTAGATTAAAACAAAAAACTATGATTTGTAAACCAAAGATCATTGAACACTAAAAAAAAATCATTTTATTTGGGCGTAAACTCAAAATAAATGATAATAGAACAACTAAATAAATTAAAAAAAAATAAGAAATTCACCAAACTTGACCAAAAGCGTGGCTCATTCAACACGAATAACAAGTAATTAAAAGCAAAATATTCAGAAAAAGATATCACCAAAGTAAAGAAAACCCAGATCTAGTGCAATTACAAGAAGATAATTTTCCATGAAGATTGTTTATCACACTTGCACCGCACTAGAAAAAATCTCACATTCAACAAGCACAAGATTGGAAGAATAAATCTATAATTTTATTGAATAAACGCTAAATTTAAACAGTTACGCTCCTCTATTCTCCCGTGAAACAACCTTATGCGATTTGTGTCTATTTTGATGATACTATCGGGCAATGCTCGTCTTTGTTAATATGGAGAAGCAAGAAACATCTAGTAATTTTAAAATCAAGCGATGGATTTGAATTCAGAGCAATCGCTCAAGGTACTGTAAACTCCTATGGATTAAAATTATTTTAGAATTCTTAAAAAACAGATAGAAAAAGAAACTATGAAAATATATTGTAATAATAAATCTATCATCAGCATTACTCATAATTCAGTACAACATGATCGAACCAAACATTTGGAAATGGATAGAATTTTTATAAAAAGGATACAAGAAATGGGAAAATTTGCACTCCATATATCCCTACAGGAAGCCAGCTTGCTAATATATAGACTAAAAAGCTTCATAAACACGAATTCAAAAATAATACAAGCAAATTTGGGATGATAGGTCTATACAATCCTATTTGAGGGGAAAGGCCAGTGGGCCTAGTGGGACCAACAAACCTGCAAGAAAAACAAAAGGAGGCCGCATCCATCATCCAAACAAGAAAAACCCTCACAGATATGCAAGAAAGGAGGTCTTGTATTGTTCATTTGGCATCAATCAGCGAGCCTTCATGGGGCTCGACAACAGCTAGATTTTTTATTTCTTTGAGTTATTATAATTAATTATTTCTAATTAATTTTTATAATTTTGTGTATAAATACCCACTGGAGGAATAAACGATCCAGGCTTTTCTAACCACTTATTCTTCTATACATACACTGTCAGGTTCTTAATGTAAAGGTACACTGAAGATAAAACAACTAGTTCCTCGCTTTAAGAAAAATGTAATTATCAATTTTATGTAGAACAAAAAAGATGCCTATCACAACAGCCAATGGCTCCCACGACCATCTAGGTTAAAATAGAATGTAAAGAAAGAATATAATGAAATTTACAGTGTTGTGGTACACCAATATCAGGCCTAGATGGCATCCTTCCGCTACATCTATGGCATTGCAAGTGAGACGTGGTTTGGCTACATTTGAATCCTTCAAGTTCAGTGCCTGTCAGGAGATTTCAAATAGGGATAAAAGGTTTAGAAAACAGGAATCAGTTTTAGATAAAATAAATACAACCGCAAAATATTCTTGATGAAGTTTAGCTATATGCTCCAAAGTTCACTCTGGATATCTAATGATTCAAGCAAAAAATCACTAGATATCATAAACTAGAAATTGAATGCAAAACTCAGAAAGTAGATCTGCAAGAATTCCAAGCATCCTAAATTAAAAACTCTAGGGAGGCATGTAGCATCATTCCAAAACATCAAATCAAATGTTACTTGAATTCAGAAAGCTTCGTAACTACAATTCTTCTAAAAAGTGTCACGACTAAAAGGCAAAATTGAAAACACTTTTGTAGAGGTTGTGATAATTGCATATCACAACCCATGCTCGCTAGAATGCAGCTAGAGCAAAGGATACTTATCCTTCATTAGGCATTTGCAGCAGAAAACATGGTGCACAAAATAATGAACCAGCCCAATTGATTAACTACAGTTATTGCATCAACACATTACCGGACAAAGACTAAAAGCAGTTAAGCAGCTCAGGTTAATAGGAAAAAGGTATTGAAAATCTGTGTAGTTGAATCCTCATTCATGAAGGGGATAAAATATCTTCAAGCCATGCTCCAGGTACCGAAGTTTTCAGTTTTCCCTTCGGTTTTCAGTTCTGAAGACCACTCTTAATTCCAAATCAGGGAAAATGAATAATTTTTAAGCACAAAAGTTGTTGTTTTCCACTTTGATAATCTAATAATCCATATAAATATAATAAATTTTCTCTTGAGCTGTATTGACACTATTCATCATAACCTAGGTAAGAGATTAAGGTTCAAAAAAATGTTAATTTGCTCCTACAATAAGGAAGATTTATTTATTTGGTGAGCTCGCATAACTAGAAATAACATTGCCATATATTACCCTTAAAACTACAAAAATTGCAACCAAGAAAAACTGATCAACAAATGATGTTTATTTACAAAGGCGTGTATCACAACAATTTAAAATCAAGTCTATGATTTCGGAAATTATGTTTATGAGTAAAAAAAAAAAATTTGGCTTCATATTACCACATTGAGGACAAGGAAAATCCACCCTACCACCATCATCGTTTGCTACTGCAAAATTTCTCTTTCTTGAAGGTTTTTTTGGGATCCCCAACAACTAAGGAAAAGCAACGGAATATCATCAGCACTAATAACTTACAAAATGATCGAAAGCATGAGTTCATTCATGAAAAAAAGTGCACAAAACACCAAATACAACTTAAAACAGATGTTAAGATGCTTCAAGATGACATTTGTAGACATACAACTACTTTCAGGTGAAAGAACGAAAAGGGTAAATAGATTATAATCAAAGCATAAACTTAATAATTCCTAGATATAAGATTTTTAGAGGTTAGATCCTGATTATGAAAATTCAAAAACTGCAATCACACGAATTCAAGAAAAGTCTTGTCACTTATACAAGAAATCAAAAAGCTAACGTAAGGCATTAGGAACCAAGTTTATTGGACATCCCTGGCTACAATAACTTCCAAAATCAAAGTTCCCTAAAAACCTGTCCTTTACAAGTTGAAAATTTTAGTACTGCCTAATTGGTTGCACCAAATGATAGTGGCTATTTCAAACTCTCGAGAGTGGAGAATTAAAAAGAGGATTCTGAAGACAATGAGGAGTTTAACTTTGTACAAAGTTAATGAATATTCCACAGTCACTAAAGCCAATTCAGAAATTGAAAAACACCTTACATCACTTGCTTAGATGCACCATTTCTACAGCCAAACAATACTGGAAATGTTGCCAACTCTTACATTACATTTTGTGCTCTAACTCTGAGCAACTAAACAAGTATTAGATGTATACTAAGGCTTACCATTCACTAGATACAATTGTAGCTAGCCTTGTTAGCCTTCAATTTGATAATTGAACTGGCTATGTCGAAAGCCAGACCAAATCAGAATGTGAATGAGCCTGAAATATATCTGAATAAAACTTTAAGATGGATGACTTGAGTGCTACTTCCGAACATGTAATTGACAATGAAGATGTCTAATTTTTTTTAACATTTATGATTGAGAGCTTCTTTCTCTGAAATTCTGAAGAACCAAAAGTAAAAAAGCACTGTACGAAGATTCTTTCTATAAAGCTTATTTCTAATAAAGCATAATATCATTAAAAATAAAAATAAAAAGAAAACACAAGAGGTAATTATAAGGGATTTCCATATTAAAATGTAAAAAGCAAAAGCAAAATTAAAGATAACAGAATGATAAAGTAAAAAAATATATATCTATCATGAAGAGATCCATGGTAAACTCTCATTGTGGTGCCTAGTGAATATTGAGAAAGGCTAAATTTTGTTCTTATTAATTCCCTTTCTAGAAATTAAGATTTGAAACCTCCTATCTAGTAAGGCTTCAATACTCGATAAACTGCCATCTAAATCAGAAAGTTGCTCGGAAACCATGGCATTGACCTCCTAAACAATTGCAATGGATGGGGCGCTAACTCATCTCGGGGATCTGTAACAATGTTCTTAAGTGCATATGAGGTTATGATAGTCTCCTAGGGGCTTAATATAATAAGAGGAGGTTCTAAAGGCTCTGACTTCATAATATCATCTAATTTTTTGTCAGAATTACGTGTCTGAACTAAAAAAAGGTGGAATTGCATCCACCACGACGGAGAAACGTACCTCCCATAGGTACCTATGCGCCACAAAAGATGCATTAAGAAACAAAGGCACACAGTAATAATCATGAGCATGCAACAGATGCAAAAAGGGATCACGAGCGACTACAAGTTAGGTAGGCACGATCTTGACATGGAATTAGATCACGATAGGTAGTGAGGCACACGAGGGCCAAGATCGCACATAGAGGAAAACATAAAAGGCTCCGAGATGCATGCAAAGATCACGAACATGATCAATCATTGGAAAGCGGGTGAAGCAGAGTCGTCACAAGGGGCACCAACGGATGATGCAATGCTGCTAGGATAGCATGAGGTAGGGGGTGTTATCTGCCATAAAATCATAATAAGCACAGGAACTCCACTAGAGTTGTTAGTTCAATGTCATCATTTAGTGTGATCATTTTCCCCAATTGTCATTAATCTATAAACTATGCTTGCAAAAAAATAACTCATTGAATGAAGACACTGAAATAGAATAGTACCTGCAATAATTTCATTTACAATTTCTTTTTCATTAAAGATTTACAACTTGATAGAACTAGCATGCAATAATCAAACCAAAGAAAATTGCATAGGAAAGAAAAGATTAAATCAACATCTAAAATATTCAGAAATAAGAATAAATCATATTTCAAAAAATTCAGCATAAGAGATTTGTGGTTTAACTAATGCCCTACATATGTATAATCAATCATTTAGAGAAATTGAAGCATCATAATGTGTGTAGTGGTGTCAATATTGGACACAAAAATTTCGGGTTCGGGTCTTGATTTTTGACCCATTTCAAATTCCGGGTTGGGTTCGGGTTGACCAGGAAACCCAAGAATGACCCGGTTTTGACCCGGGTCGGCGTATTTACGAGATTTGGCCGAAGAAGAAGAGCATGAAACGGAGAAAGTTCTTCAAAGCGAGCGAACTCCCTTCATTGCTTCTGATCAAAATGTTGTAACTTCCATTCCGATTGGAAGGGAACATTGTCCAAGGAGAGAAGTCGAACAGCAACGAGCCATGAGCCATCGACCTTTGGTCCTTCACAGCGAGCGAACTACTATTGTTGCTTCCGATCAAAATGTTGTAAATTCCGATCCGATTGGAAGGGAAGGTCGTCCAAGGAGAGAAGTTGAACATCAACCAAGCAACGAGCCAACGACCTTCGGTCCTTCACAGCAAGGGAACTACCGTCGTTGTTTCCTATCAAAATGTTGTAACTTCTGATTCGATTGGAAGGGAACTTCGTCGTCGTTCAAGGAGAGAAGTTCTGATCGTACCAATCTTCAATCTTTTCTTCGGTCCTTCACAGTGAGCCTATCATTGCTTCCGATCAAAATGTTGTAGCTTCCAAACGTTGTCTAAGGAGCGAAGTCAAATTGATGCAGACATCCAACCGTCCATGCCAATCCGAGGAGGAGCTGAAGATCGACGACCAAGATCACTTTGTTTTATTTTCATTTATTAAGTGTATTTTAATTTAGTTTCGCAATTTCTCTTTTTTACCCTCTCGTCTTATGTAAGCCCAAGGGGCAAAATGTGTCTTTTAATTTCTCTTGAAGCCTATATATAGAGGCTCATTCTCTTGTATTAGGATGATGAATGAAAATTTCTACTTTTGATCTCTTTGTGAGTTCATATTTTCTTGATCTCTTGGTGAGTTCAACTCTCCTAGATCTCTGTGTGAGTTCTATGGAAAGCCCAAGGTGAGGGATTGTGGGCAGAAATTGTGGTGGATCTTGGATATCTTGGCCACGGGAAGGAATTTGAATTGTTTCCAAGAGAGGATGTGGCTTTAGGAAACAAATCTATGGGGTATTAATGAGGGGGGCCGGTGGAGGCATAGGCTAGAGATGAATTAATGGGTAGAGATTTAATTCCTGCTACAAAACTCCTTAGATTAGGGAATCAATTAGGAATTTAATCAAAATCTGAATTTTAATTTCAATTTTAATTAAATTAGGAGGGAATTGATTTGAATTTTAAAATTCAAATCAATTCCCTCCTAATTTAATTAAAACTGAAATTAAAATTCAGATTTTGATTAAATTCCTAATTGATTCCCTAATCTAAGGAGTTTTGTAGCAGGAATTAAATCTCTACCCATTAATTCATCTCTAGCCTATGCCTCCACCGGCCCCCCTCATTAATACCCCATAGATTTGTTTCCTAAAGCCACATCCTCTCTTGGAAACAATTCAAATTCCTTCCCGTGGCCAAGATATCCAAGATCCACCACAATTTCTGCCCACAATCTCAGTTTCACTCACGTTGGAAGTATTTCCAAAACCTGGCCCATAATTCTGCCCACAATTTCAGCCTCCCTCACGTTGGAATTGAACCATCTCTGTATTTATCTGCTGGCCGAAATTTCCCAAGGCTGATATATTAATTTCCTTCTACAATTCTCTCCCAAAATGCTGCCTGACGTTGGGTCTTCCTCCCTGTAAAGCTGCAGCCAGAAATTTCCAGCAATTCCTCTTGAATCCCAGTAGCCTGATGCCCCAATATTGCTGTTTTACCCACAGCAAATTGCTGTCCAGCAATTCCTGCTGCATCCTGTGTGCTGTCCACAGATTCCTGCAGCCATCAAGTGCTGTCCTGCACCCCGGGAGGTCTGAAATTGCTGTTTAAAAGCCTCCAGTAGCCTTATAACAGCTGCCCAAGGTTTATTCAAGCATTGGAGATTGCTGTCCATAATTTTCTAAGAGTCAAAGTTGCTGTTTAGACCCCTTGATTTGCTCTTCAAGACATTTAGGATCCAATCCTCTCTCGTTTCACATCACGAATGGCTACGAAGACGGAAGAGCGCACGAAACGTAGAAATTACCTTCCAGATACTATGCGAGTCGGGTTCGAGTCTGAAAATCCGACCAGTTTGCCAAAACGGGCCGGGTTCGGGTTGACCCGAATGCAGCCGGGTTAGTGCCGGGTTTGACCCGAACTTGACCCGTGACCCGAAATTGATACCCCTAATGTGATGTTTATGTCCTAAATATGTATAATCAATCATTTAGAGAATTTGAAGCATCATAATGTGATGTTTATGTTGAACTCTATCTTGTAAAAATTCAATCTATTCATAACTTCTAGTATAACTGCAAAAAATACCCTCTCAAAGCACCAAGGAAATACTGGAATGTTTGTTGAGCCGACACTCTTCATCTTCCACCTAGCTCTTGGCACATTTATACACTTCTTGTGAGTAGTTTGATCATCTTCCCTTTCTATTATCTCTCTCTTTTTTTTTTGCTCATGACCTTCAAGCAAATTAAAATTAGAAAAGGAACTTAGAATATAGGTACCCTTACAGGCAAATTAATGAAATTAATAATTATTATGATTCATAAAAAAATAAATATTCTATGCATTCAAAAACTAACTGGATTGGAGAGAAGGCTAAGGAGATTGATAGTTTATGATTTAAATTATGATATTATGATAGGATTGTACTAGAAATGGTGTAGGTGTAATTATAGATGAGAGTTTAAATGATAACATTGTAAAAATTAATAGAATTGAATATACAATTATAGCTTTAAAGATTATTGTTGATGCTAAGATTATTAATATTATAAGTGCTTATGCTCTTCAATTAGATTTTGATATAGGTTCAAAATTAAGATTTTGGAATGACTTAGAAGAATTAATAAAAAAGATACATCTTAAAAAAAATTAATAGAGAAAATTTAAATGGACATGTTGGTAGAGAGGTAGATGATTTTAAAAACATTCATGAAGGCTATGAATTTGGAGTGACTAATGAATGTGGTAAGACTATATTAGATTTTTTAGCTTATGACTTTGTAATTACTAATACCTTATTTAAAAAAAGAGGTGAGCATCTCATAAACGGTCATTTATAAGAATGGATATAGTAAAACTCAGTTAATTATATTCTTATAAGAAAAATAGACCGTTTAGATTACAAAAATTATAAAGTTATTTCAAGTGAATGTTTATATAGCCAACATTGCTTATTAGTTTTGGACTTCAAGATGAAAAATAAAAAATAAAGTAAAATGTTGTTTTAGGATTTGATGGGGGCATTTAAAAAAAATTAACAAAAATATTTTTGAGAGTAAGATACTAGAGCTTAAGATATTATTTGTGTATGAATAAGCTAATAATGTGTGGAAAAAAGTAGCTAGTCATATTAAAAATGTTATAAAATATGTACATGGAGTATCAAAGGGAAAAAATCCTAATAATAAAAATAGTTAATGGTGGGATCAAAATGTGTAAAAATAAATAAAAAATAAGATTTGTTATAAAAATTTGTTTACATGTAAACATTATAATAATTATGAAAGATTATAAGAATGCAATTGACTTTAATGACCGTAGCACCCTAAATAAAAATAAATATTTTATTTTTATCAGCGTATTAGTAAAATCGGAGCTAGAGAGGTTTTAAAGAAAATGAAGTGCGGAAAAGCTGTTGGACCTTATGATATTCCAATAGAGGTGTGGAAATACTTAGGAGATGAAGGAATTTCTTGGCTTACTAAACTTTTTTAATATTATTTTGAAGGCTAAAAAAACGTCGGATGAGTGGAGAATAAATGTGTTGATTCTTATTTTTAAGAATAAAGGTGATGCATAAGGTTTTGTGAATTATAGAAGAATTAAGTTAATGTGTCATACTTTAAACTATGGGAGAGAGTCATGGAGCATAGGTTACGGCGTGATAATAATGTTTCTCAAAATCAATTTGGATTCATGCCGGGTAGGTCTATTATGGAAGCTATACATTTATCGAGAGGTTTGATGGAGAAGTATAGAGAGTATAAGGAGGATCTACATATGATATTCATTAATTTAGAGAAAACATATGATAAAGTTCCAAGATAAGTGCTATGGAGAGTTCTAAAAAAGCAAGGGGTTAATAATGCTTATATTCAAGTCATTAAGGATATGTATATAGGAGTTGTTATTTGTGCTCAGACACAAGGTGGTTTGACCAAGTATTTTCCTATTTTAGTAAGATACATCAAGGATCATCCTTAAGCATATCTTTTTGCTTTAGTCATGGATGTCTCACTAGACATTTGCAAGAGGTTGTACCCTAGTGTATGCTTTTTGCTGATGATATTCTTCTTGTTGATAAGACTAGAAATGGAGTTGAAGGTAAACTTGAATTATGGAGGTCAACCTTAGAGTCTAAATGCTTTCGTTTGAGTATATCTAAAACTGAATATATGGAGTGTAATTTTAGTAATAATAATTTTTGTGGGGGGATTATAACTTTGGGTGATCGAGTCATTAATAAGAGTACATGTTTAGATATCTTAGGTCTATTTTCGAAGTGATGATGAAATAGATAAGGATATTATTAGTATAATTCAAGTTGGATGGTTGGAGTGAAGGAATGCATTAGGGTTGTTGTGTGATAGAAAAGTTACCCTCAAACTTAAGAGAAAACTATATAAGATGGTGGCTAGACCTGCAATGCTTTATGGTGCAGAATTTTGGCTGTTAAAAGAGAAGTATAATATTAAGTTATGTGTTGTAGAGATGAGACTGCTCAGGTAGATGAGTGGCTTTACTCTTAGAGACAGAATACGAAATGAGCATATACGTGAAAAGGTTGGAGTAGCTCCAATGGAATATAAGATTAGAGAGAGTCGCCATAGATGGTTTGGTTACATAAAATGGCGGCCTTCCGATGACCCCGTTAGGAGAGTAGAAGTATTAGATTTGACTTATATTAAGAAAGATAGAGGTATATCTAAAAAGACTTGGTTAGAAAATATTAGAAATGATCTTTCTTTATTAGATTTAAATGAGAATTTAACTTTTAACACGGCACAATGGAGAAATAGGATTCATATAGCCAGCCCCACATATTGCGATAAATGCTTGATGTTCTTGTTGTTTTTGTTGTTGCTCCTAACCTTCAAGCACTTAGAACTCCAAAGGTTGATTTCTCTTAATTAAACAAGCATTAAAACCCTCTCCATGTAATAATAAAGCAAACAAGTCATGCAATTCAATAGACCAACTCAACTTTTGACGTCTTAATTGGACGGACTTATTTCTTTCATAGTAGATGTCAAATTGCACGCTTGAAACAACTGATGAGTTATTCCCATCCCCATCGCTTCGAATGGAAGAAAATCTGAACTTGATCTTCCGCAGCATATAGCACAAGGGCAAGGACATACTATTTAAACAATGTACAAATTATAATGAAAAATGCAAAAGGATGCATGGAAGAGACACATCACACATGAGACGCTTGAATCAACCAAAAACTCATATGTGCATTATTAAGATGTAAAATCATGACATCTTCCAAATTGGTGAGCTTTACGGAAGCATAACTAGAATGAATGGAAAAATGGCTCACAATATTTGATATAATTGAAGCTTGTGTATCAGCCAGCGCAAGTTCCTCATCAGAACGTTTTAGGGAGGAAGAAGCTTGTAATATAGCCTGCAGGATAAAGAAACATATATGATCCACAAATAACTAAAAGGGCGTCTATATAGAAACAAAGAAGAAGGGTGTATGGGAAATCCAACAGATGTAAGTATTGAATTCAGATATGATGTAGACAAGAGATATAGGGGACCCTATATTTCTTGAATACAAAAGACACACAAGAAGAAATCTGACACAATGAGTAGAACTTAAAACAAATTTTATTAAATAAACGCAAACGACCCAAAACTTGACAAACGCAACAAAAGATGCTAGGAGATTTTAAAGAAATAAAAAAAACGCTATCATCAGACAACCGTCAGAGCGGGTTCCTCACATGCATCGAATTTGTAGGTTAAATAAGTAAAGTGCATAGAACTAGCAAACCGATGGTCCACCACTGCAAGACTGTCCCAAATGCTTCCAAATCAACCAAGACACGACACCCTAAAGTTGCTTCACTGTTGAGAAGAATGATACAGATGGAGTGGCACTTGCGGAGAGACAAAAGAGGTTAGAAGCCCGAGAAGAAAGGGTGGAAAGAGCCAGCAGGATTTCCGGAGGGGATGAGAAAGAATGGTGGAAAGAGCCCGCAAGATTTCCAAAGCAAACCCGCAGGTTATAACTTTTCCAAAAATCACATTTCATAACATCCTATCAAACATAAACAATCCCCCATATATATAGGTATGAAAGGGAATACAAAGAGACACATTACATTAATTATCACAAGAATCTAAACATCACGTACAAGCATTAATCCCAAATGCTTTGCACGAAAAAACACACCCAAGCAAAGAAACCGAAGAGCCATCCACGGGAGCCAAGGAGGCCGCACGGAACCAAGGGGCCACGGCCTCGTGAAAGAGCCCAGACACGGGAAAACCAGCGGCCAGCCGGAATTCCAAGAGGTAAAGCACAAAAAACAATAAGCCAAGGAAAAAACCAAGGAGTCACCTCATGGGAAAAGCAAATTCTTGGAATTCCAAAGGCCGGTTTGGAATTCCAAGAGACAAACATGAATACAAACATAAAAAGCATAAAAAGTAAGATAATAAATGAACTAAAATGTTAGCTAATAATGAGCTAACCCTTAGTTCAAAAAGTGAACTAAAGACCAGCTCATAAATGAGCTAAAATTTCAGCTCGAATTTATTTGAGCTAGTAGACTCAAGGGAAGCCAAAATTCATATTATTTTGGACATGGGTTGACCCCCATTTTGTCTACATCAAGATAACACTCAAAACTTTCAAATTGGAACAGCAAAACAGCATTCAACAGATATTGATCATCACTACTCTACTATCAAACCCTCATTTTATATCAAAAAGTGATTTTAAGAGTGCTGGCTTAAGATACAGAAGTAAGCTCAATTTCCAATAGTCCAATTCCCTATTCCTCCGTACTGTGAGTTGACAAAAAAAATCTTGAAAAGTAGCACTTTAAGACTCTTACGAAAAATGTAGGTATCATAGATCAAAATACAACAAAAACAAGAACAACATCAAGCCTTTGTCCCACTACGTGGGGTCGGCTACATGAATCCTTTTTCGTCACTGTGTCCGGTTAAAAGTCAAATTCTCATTTAAATCTAATAAAGAAAGATCATTTCTAATATTTTCTAACCAAGTCTTTTTAGGTCTAAATAGTACTCCAAAATATATTGGTTGGCATCTTTTAAGATGAACAATAAGAGAGGAAAAAAAAGAAACTTATTATGACCAAATTCATGAAAGTACAATCTAAGTACTGGTGATCAAACCAATACACCAACAACATCAAGCATTTATCCCACAACGTAGGGTCGGCTACATGAATCCTTTTTCTCCATTGTGTGTGTTAAGAGTCAAATTCTCATTTAGATCTAATAAAGAAAGGTCATTTTTAATATTTTCTAACTAAATCTTTTTAGGTCTACCTCTAACTTTCTTACCATAGGTCAAATCTAATAAATTTACTCTCCTAAATGGGTCATCGGAAAGTCGGCGTTTTATGTGACCAAACTATCTAAGGCCGATTCTAACTAATCTTATCTGCCACTTGAGCTATTTCAACATTTTCACGAATACGCACATTTTGCATCCTGACTCTAAGAGTAAATCCATCCATCCACCTGAGCATCCTCATCTCTGCAACAGTTTACTTAATATTATGCTTCTCTTTTAATGGCCAACATTATGCGCCATAAAGTATTGCAGGTCTAACCACCATCTTATAGAATTTTCTCTTAAATTTGAGTGGTACTTTTCTATCACACAATAATATACAAAAATAATCCATTGAAGAAGCTACCTCCTCGATATTATGCAAAAAGTGATTCCTTCCAACAGAATGTACAACAGCTCTGCATTGAGGACAAACAATACTTTGATGCCTACCACCAGGCTTGGTTGACGATTTTCTTAACCACTCTGAAAAGCATCCATTGCTGCACAAAAATAAATTTGGTTGGAAAATTTTTAACAAACTTCAAGAGAGGGAAAAACAAACATCTAAAAAACGCATAACTGAGCAAGTACCAGAAATTGTGAAGACAGGGAGAAACGCTAACAACATCATGCCATATGTTCAGGCATATGCTGCATTTTGCATGCTCAGCATCTAATGAGATCTAACAAAATCAATCACATGAAGGCAGATCAATATGAACATTCAGGAATAGTAATAAGGCCCAGATCATGGCAATGTTAATAGAAACAACCTTTAAACCCTTGGCTTCTTGGCAGAAGGCATGTCCTTCTTGAAAGACATAACTCATGTATCCTGAAAAATGGAAGAAAAGTATGTTAATCTTCCATATAAAATTTCATTTTAAAGCAAACAACATTACTCCAACTCTGAGTAATGATCTGCGCAGACGCATAGTAAAGTCAACACTTCTACAGAAGCATAAGAAATTCACCCTGCAGCAACTTGCCTATTGATCCGGCACAAAAAAAAATTTATTTAGTTTTAATAATTGGAAGGTTAAGTTAACAAATTAAATAAAAGCAGAAGGTAATTTTTTTGGCCCACTATAAAACCTTTTTTAGCCGGTCACCATTATTTAAATTAAACTCAATTGCCAACAAAACAGCTGATGGAAATCATTTTATAATTTTGTAATTTGTAATATAACAAAATTTAGAAGATCTGACCAAAGTATATTATCATACATAAATGATTTCAGAACGTTTCATATAATAAATAAATTAATATTACCAATTCCACACTTATTAGTATTGATAAATAAACTACCTCCTTATAAGAAAATTTTAGGCATTTGAATTAAAATAAAAAATAAAACAATATGGTTAACAGAAAATATAATTACTCAACAATCAATAGGCTACACATTTCAAAATTCAATATCCTCAAAAATTGACTGAAAGAAGAAACCAAGCCAGTATCCTCCTCGCGTGGGCTATGAAAGATGGACAAGCTATGATACTCATGCAGGCTGATTTTTTCCTCTAGTAGTACCATTCAACGCAGCTCCCACTTCTCTTCCCCACCACCAACAAACCCTCTTCCTCCTTTGTTAATGTCCCCAGCAACCCGACAATCCCTATATCAATAATTAGTGAAGCTCAATCCAAATTCAAAGAACTGAGTTTGAGAACGGCCTAGCTTAGATTTGCCGACCTCTCTCATATTGTTAATAAATAAGAAGAATCTCTCTCATGTGTTAATAAACAAGACGAATAAGACATGAAAGAGAGAAATATGGAAAAATCAAATAAAATTTCAGCAAATAGATTTGAAATATTAAAAACAATTATTGAGGAAATGGTTTCGAGAGTGATAAATGGGTTTTATAATAAAATAAAATAAAAACAAGTTCCAATGCTTTTATAGTAAGGACGGGCCGTATATCTAGTACACGTACACTGATGTAGAATTTATGGTGGACACTATTATGCCCAAACCAGTCCAGGTGTATAAGAGGCGGACCAAGCTCTTGAATTACCGCCCATACATGGGTGGGGCCCACTCAGCAAATTAAATACGAAGGGAGGGGGGCGGCTAGGGCTTAGGAGGATTAATTGTTTGCTTTAAATAGGAGGAGAGGATTAGGGTTAGGGTTATGCAAATTATTGTGTTTGTTCTTCTTGTTCTTGGAGTTTGATGTTTTGGGCACTAGCGACAACTAGAGATTGGGAGAGATAGATCCGCCTCTCGAATTGAGGATCAATTGTATCTCACTATTTTCTTCCATTAGTTTGATTATTGCTTTTGTTTTTCTAGTTTTTCCATTGGTTTTGCGGTTCGTTCTCATTGTTTTTGTCAAGATCGTTAGGGTTTACTTGGGAACTCCCAGTATTTCCTAACAAATTGGTATCAGAGCAAATTTTGATACCATTTGTGGGCTTTTTCTATGAAAATCAGTGGCTGTTTTTTGGCCGGAAGACGGAATAATTGCTGTTTTTTGGCGTAAAATTCCAGATTTTTGAACATACAAAAATACAGGTGTTGATAGCAATTTTTATTGCCTCAGGTTACCTGACGTAGAGATACATCAGGTAGCCTATAATATATCGCCACGTGCTCTTACTCTTTACCGCGCGGCCCTACGACCCGACCCGGAACGAATATGCTCGGTATTTGCTCGGTATTGCTAGGTACTACTCGGTATTTGCGGCGTTTCGTCGCTTGAGTTCGGGACGGAGCTTCAGATGCGAGTCTCGCTAGGCAGCGTGAGAAGCGGTGGCGTCGAGGACAATGGAGGTATTTGCTCGATATTTTCATCAACAATTGAGGATTTGACAGATGAGGAATACCCTTTTGTATTTATGCTGGCTAGCGCGGGGTATTTGGTCACCTTGCTCGCCGACTGCGTCATCGCCGGAGTTGTTGCAAGGGGAAGAAGCATTCAGGATGTTGAAGGAGGTGAGATTCTCTGACTTTTTTTTTTTTTTTTTTTTTTCTCTGTCTATATTTAGGTTCTGTTTGGCTTCAAGAAATTTAAAGATAGGAGCATTCGGGATTTGAGTTGTTGCAGGCAAGGAGCATGCGGGATTTGAGGAGGCGGCGGTCCACACGAGCGTAGGGGGGGAGAGGAGTTTGGAGTTGGCATCGTTGATGAAAATACCGAGCAAATACCAAGCAGTACCTAGCAATACCGAGCAAATCCTGAGTAGTACCTAGCAATACCGAGCAAATACCGAGCAATACACGAACATAATAATCCCGGATTCGTTCCGGGTTGGGTTGTCGGGCCGCGCGGTAAAGAGTAAGAGCACATGGCGATATATTATAGGCTACCTGATGTATCTCTACGTCAGGTAACCTGAGGCAATAAAAATTCTGTTGATGGTGGCCAAGAAAGTGAATGCGTTGGAAGAACGCCTCAAAGGGGAGATGAGCCAAACGAACGCGATGGTGGAAAATCGAATTTCATCTATGGAAGACAAAGTATCCGATCTTCATGAGATGGTGAAGAATATATTAGAAAATCAAATTCAAATGACAGCATCGGAGACAAAGGAACCAGTGGGGAGAACTACGAATTCTGAATTTCATAGGAGGGAAAATGATGTGGAGATCATGAAGGAGAAAGGGCAAAGGTATGGAGAGAGGCATGGTTATGGGGGCATGAACCAAGGGGTGCTAGTTGGGAGAGAAAAGATAGGGATTATGGTAGGAAGGGTGCTGATTGTGAAGAAAGGAGGGGAGAAAGCGAATAGGGGTTTGGGTATGAGCGTGGAAGGGAAGATCGGGAGACTTGGGGAGAGCCAAAAACTTGGGAAAGGAGAAACTATGGAGGAATATAGAGAAACGGATGAGATACGAAGGTGCGGAAGCTGAATATACCTATTTTTGAAGGGGAGAATGTACACTGGTGGATTTATAAGGTGGAGAGGTATTTCACAGTCAATGGGTTGACGGATGAGGAAAAATTGACGGCAACGGGCTTATGTTTGGAGGGGAAGGCGTTGTCTTGGTACCAATGGAGAGACATGTGGAGGCCAATACGAAGTTGGAGTGAGTAGAGTTCAAGGCATTCTTATTGGAACGTTTCCGAACCGGGAAGGGAGGGGACTTCTATGAGCAGTTCTTTGCACTAGTGCAGGAAGAATCAATGGCAGATTATCGTGAGAGATTTGAGCACTTGGCCAATCAAGTGAAGAGACTATCAAAGACTGCTTTGGAGGGTAATTGCATAAAGCCTAAATTCTATAGTCAAGTAGGAGAACACTAGGCATTCAACGGGACACTTTCTTTCAATAAAACATAAGCCAACAATAACTGAATGAAACTTAATAGTAAACAGATATAGGTAAATGATTAGGAAACCTTGCAAGAAATAAACTAAAACATAAAATAAATTACCTTCAGAACAACCTAGAAAGGTCACCTCAAATGCAAATCTGAAAATTAGAGAAGGGTGCGGGTGCTCAAAAGAAAAATCAAGCTAGTGGTTCGCCACAGAAATTTCGATCATGCTCAAGTCAACACTCCTCCGAAAAATACCAACAAATGGGCTCACCAACACCTTTCACTCACAATATTTGGATAAGAAAGATACAAGTGGAAGGAAAACTGTGGAGAGAAAAAATAGATAGAAGGCTGGGAAGTGGAAATAGGTATAGGAAAAAGATGCTCTCAAGCTAGGAAAAAAACCCTCAAGTTTGGTTTAGATCTCAGCCAACAACAACCCTTTTTTCAATAGCAAATCAATTATATTTATAGGAGATAAAAGTTAAAATGCCTACATAAATGTGCCACCCTAAGTAGCCAATAAAAGCCACTTTTTGAGAAGATAAAACACTAGACTTAGGAATCAACAAAGAGGGAAGGTGAACGACCAGCAGCATAAGCCCAAGGAAAATTGAAATTGCATGGAAAACTAGCAGCAGGAATTCCAAGTATAGGGAAAATTGAAATCTGCATGGAAAACCATGCAACATTGAATCCAAATTATGCATGGGGAACACACAACAACCAGCCAACATGGGAAGACATGGCTCAAGCCAATTAAGGAAAAATAACAGCCCAAGATTAAATGACCAATTAGCCATCAAGGAAGCAAGTAAACAAATTCAACATGACCGGAAAGCCAAAGGAGAGAAAATACCTAAGAGCACCAAATCCAAGTTTGATCATGAGTTGACCATCATATCGCACATTAAAAAAAACATCGTCCAAAATTACATAACATCCAAAACATAAGAAATAAAATACAAAATATAAAATGATAATCCTTGATTGCATCAATTCTCCTCTTGTGGAAGAATCTCATCTGCTGATGAGAATATCTCAGTAACACGCTGATAAATATCAGGATGACGAATCCGTAACTCCTCTGCTTCAATCCACGAGTAGTCAGCCAAGGGACGCCCACTCCATTTAACTAAGAACTGTCGGTGCGTTCCATACCAGACAAGGTATTACGGATGTCCAAAACATCATCAATACGATCATCTTTTGTTTGAGCTGGAATGGTGAGGGGAAAGGTCTCTATGTCTACTGAATTAGTTGGTTATCCTTCATATGTAGTAAAATCGACAACATTAAACACAGGTGAAGTTCCGAGGTGGAAGATCCATCAGATAAGCATTTGTTCCCAATCTTCATAGTATTCGGAAATGACCAAATTTCTTTCGACTTAGTTTGTCAAATGTACCAATGGGAAAGCTTTGTCGTCGAAAGTAAGCCATAACCAAAACTCCCTCTTGAAAATAACACACTCTCCTATGTATGTCAGCAACTATTTTGTATTTAGCATTTGTCATACGAAGTTTCTCTAGGACCTGACATTAGATCGATTGAATATGATCAATAATTTCTATTAGGGCTGCAAGTGAACCAAACGTTCGACGAGCTACTCGTTGTTTGGTTCCATTAAAGCTCGTTCGTGATCGTTTAATTAACTAAACAAACAAACTTGAACAATATTTTAAATACTTGATTCTTAAATAAACAAGCTTGAAACTAATGCGTTTGGCTCATTTATGTTCGCGAACAACATCATTTGAAGTTCGTGAACAAACTCGATAAGAAACTCGATTCGTGTTCGATAGTGAACTTGTGAATAAGCTTGATAAAAATAATTAATATTTGATTATAGAATTAATAAATATAAATAATATAAATAAAGCTCGACATTAAGTTCACGAACATGCTCGAAGTAATCGTTTGTTAGGAAGCTCGATAAAGCTCGTTTGCTAAGTTAATGAACATCTAAAAGTAGAGCTCGTTTATAGCTCGTTCATGTTTGTTTGTTTAAAGCTCGATAAGCAATAAACGAACGAACATGAACTGAACGTGAACCGAACATGAACACTCATTAATTTAAATGAACCAAACATGAACACAAACATTAAAACTCAAACAAACATGAACCAAACTTGAACAACCTGATATTAAATGAACACAAACATGAACACTCACATGCTCGGCTCGGCTCGGTTCGTTTGCAACCCTAATTTCTATAGCTTCGGCACTAATTCTACTAGGCATGGGTATTGAAGTTCGGTCTAAGATGTGGGAATAGGTTGGCCATAAATAATTTTAAATGGGGTTCTTCCAGTAAATCGGTTAAGGGAATTGTTATAAGCAAATTCATCTTACATAAAATTAAATCCCATTGAGAAGGTCTTTCTCCAACAAGACACCTAAGCAAATTTCCTAAACTTTTGTTTATTACTTCAGTTTGTCCATCTGTTTGTAGATGATATGCACTATGGAATTGGAGAGTAGTCTAACCAAAGTGTTCTCCAAAAATGACTTAAGAATCTAGCATCCCTATCATAGGTAAAAGTTCTAGATATATCATGTAGTCTTACAATTTCTTTAAAAAATAAATCAACGGCATGAGATGCATCAGATGTTTTCTTACAATGGATGAAATGTGTCATTTTGCTAAAACAGTCAACAATAACAATACAAAATCTTAGACCCAAATGCACATATAGGTGATTTTACCTTAGCGTCCTTATTAATAGTAGTATTACTACCCTTGGATATAGTAATTACAATAGACTGAACTTGATAACTTTGATAAAATGACGCATTCCATTAAAATACAATAATCCTTTTGGACATAAAAAAATAAAATTTGCTCAAAATATAATGCAAGTTGAAAAAACATGGATAAGTAATATAATGTGATGGGTGTCATCTCTCTCTTAATATCAAGTCTCCAACTATAACAAAATCTACAAAGTGTGATTTTAGGATCTTCAATGATCTCAAAACACAATAACATTTCTTTAAATTTGTTCATGGATTCAATAACAATTTTAATACCTTGTTTAAATGAATTAACTCCATCACGCAAACAATCACAATCGGATAAAGGAAAATATTTTTCTTTTAAAAATACAATATCAACACATTTTATGGTAGGTTCCCTTCCAAACTTTTCCTTTTGTCTATCCATGCTCATCTAATAAATTTAAGCATGCCCAGCCAATTTCATTTTTACAAATCTTAGTTATAATTAAAAAAATAATGTTTGTCAATCAGAGAAGTTATCTAAATCTAGTACACAGTCAATAAAATTTTTTAAGTTCAATTTTACCATATAATTAGAAACTTCAACTCTAGCTTTTGTAATGTCAACAATTATATTAAAATTTTGAGATCTATGATTTTTAAAGCACTATTATTAAGTATCATGAAATGTTTATTAATATGCTCGTCTCCTATCAAAATTGGCATTCAAATGAATTGGTTTGTTATCATGATTGGAATTTACTTCAAGTTCAAGTACATTAATTTAATTAGTTTCCAATACATTAATTCATGTTTAAACCATTTTATATCATCGCAGTAGATTTTGTTTGTTCAACTAGTCAATCAATTGATTTTGCAACATAGTTAAATTTCTCTCTTTCGTTGATCTATTGAGTTACTCTGAAAGTGAGCCCCGCTCCTAAGTGACCTGTTGACACAACTTAAAGTTTTGATACAAAACAACTAAAGGCTAGGATTTCTTAATGCATATTTTATGATTTCTAAATGAAAACATGCAAGGGAATTTGAGGATTCATAGATTAAAACTAAGAAATAATTCAATAGCACGCTTTCTTTGAATGTAAAGAGAAAATTTAAGAATTATAACTCAAATGGTAATGAAATGATCGATTTCAAACCCCATAAAATAAGTTAGTAATTATGATTTAATTTCCACAAATAGAACTTCAATTATACCAAAATTGGAAAAATAATAATAATAACAATAGATGTATAAAAAATAATAATGAACAAAAACACTATAATAAGAAAAGATAAATCTCTTGTGGATATAAATACACAACTTCCCTCACTAATAATACTTGAACCGCACTCCAATGACCATATATTTTGCAAAACCATTGAGAAATACGAGGGCAAAGACAAAAAAATATAATAGAAATTGATGAAGATCATTAATAACTCGATGACAAAAGGGTTTCTTGAAGTTGGAAGGGCAAAAACTAACCGGAAAGACAAGGATTAAAATGAAGAGGCATATGAGAGAGAGAGAACAAAAAAAGAACAAAGATATTATTTTGCAAATGTACATGGTGTTACTGGTGTATTGTTGCAAATTCACAAATCACTCTTGCAAGAAAGGGAAACGATGAGTGAATAGGAGGATTTAAGTATTCAATATACACCATGTATAATATATATTATATGTAATGAGGATTATCACCTAAACACACAATAAAAATTAGTTGTTAATTAGCTCACCAATTAGTTGAAAGCTGCCAGCATAGACTTCTCTTATTACTAAAGTTCCAAATGATACTGTGATAAGTTAAAATTAGACATTCCATCAACCAGTGCTACAGTATAAAATAAAAGGAACTGCTTTTTCCTAGTAAATAAAAAATAAATTACATAAAATAACAGCTAATGGGGACATCTATAACAATACTAAAAAGAAAATGTAATAAGGAATCATTTTCAAAGCATACTGATAAGAATGGCATAAAAACACATACATGAGGTGCCCATGAGATAAGAGCATCAAAATATCAACCAATAATTTAACTTAACAGAAGAATTGTAAAATAAGTTACCGACCGTCTCTATTAGGTCCCGCAACGATTTCACTTCCGTTTTTCAAAGCCACCAAGTCTTCTTGTACAAGATTTCCATCAACTAAGATTGCTGTTGAGCTTCATCGAGACATTTACATAAGATAAAGAGATAAGAGTTACTATCAATTACCAATTGCATGAAGGTAATGCCAATAATGCACAGAACACTTAATCCAAGGTGCCTATTTGTAACATCAGCACGTGAATACATGCAGAGGAAACCTCTTCAAAGAAGTGAGAAATGCACAAAGGACTAACCTCAGGTTTTTAATTACCGCGGAACCATTTCCATCGCGTACAATGGCGCACCACTCAAGAGCATCTAGCGATGAATCCGTAACTTGAGAGCATATAACCTCTTCTGCTGACATGATTTTAATTTCTTGATACCTGACATCCCTTGGCACTACATCATCAAAGTAAAATCTTCAAATTAAAAAAATCATGATGGAGAACTACCTTCTTTCCAATTTCTGCAGCTCGCATGACTACCAGTCGCTTTCTGGCGATGGTAGTCAACAGATAGGTTGTCGGCCCTTTCCCGAATTAGAACTCCAGCACGTGAAGGATAACTCGAAGGATAAAGGAAGAAGATAAAGTGATTAAAATATACCTAATTTGGCCCATGGCCGGTCCACTTCCTTCGATCCAGAGCATTGTCCGGCCTCCATTTTCTTTCCAACGAGAAGGGATTGAGGATGCTCTCCGTGTCCTCGAGCGCACAACTCTGTTTATTGAACGCCACTAATATTACGAAATTCGTCCTTCTGCAACAAGATTCTTGAAATCTTCAACGAGAAGCCTGGAGCGGCCCCTCTTCCAAACTCTTTCGATCTTTTTCTCATTTTTATCTATTTCTATCATTAGCATTGGACACTCATGCAACCCATTTCGAATTAAAAGCTTTTGAAATTAAGATTTTGCATCTATAATATAAGGGAGTTTATGTGATAAATTAAAAATATACACTTTTATAAAAAATTTTAACTATATATGACTTATAATATATGCAAATAAAAAATATTGTATTATTTATATTATTAGAAAAATATATCTAAAAATTCATTTGAAGCAAACCCATTTCCAATAAAAATTAGTCTCTTATGTTCTCGTCAGGGGTGCAACGAGTCAAGTCGACTCGCAAGCCAGCTTTAGCTCGGCTCATTAACAAGCTTATGAGTCAAGCTTAATGAGTTTCGAGCTCAAGCTCTAACTCGGCAAAATTTAGAGCTCGTTAGATTATCGAGCTCTAGTTCAATCCTAATGAAGCTCAACTCAATTACTTGTTGAGCGGGATCGCGGGAGGGGCTTGGACTCGGACGCGAATGCAAAGTGAAATGGTGGGGCGAACTCGGGCTTGGATGTGGAAGGCAGGCTTGAACATGGAACGAGGGTTGGATGTGGAATCGAGAGCGAGCTCAAACGCCGAATCGAGCCGCTCGGTGAGCTCATTTTCAGTGGCACAAGTGAAGCTCGAGCTCGTCTTTTAAGCTCAATTGGAGTTCGAGCTCGGAATTTGACTGGCGAGAGGACTCACTACTAAAAAGAAATAGCAAGAACTAAAAAGCCTGATGCAAATAATGGCCAACAACATAACTATAGAAAGCATATATCTCCTTCCAAACTCTTACCTTCTTTTCCTTTTAATATGAGATTCAAGCTCTGGTTTCAAACGCCTTCACTATTTTACATTTTGGTATCAGAGCCACCTTCCGAATCTTGCACTGGGTTCCGATCAGGTTCTTCCCCAACTCCATTTTCTTCTTCTTCTTCATCCGCCTGGAAGAAACTCCTCACCGGAGAAACGCCTGGAAGAAGAAATTCTTGTAGCCAAGGAGATCCGATCATGGTGAAGCAAGAATCAATGGAAGTGCAACAATTCGTGTAGAGAAAGGATCGCTGGAGGCGTGAGGTTGGCGAAGAGCAGGGCACGCGCAAGAAGATCGTGCTGGGATGTGTGAGCCAAAGGAGCTCACGGGACAGCAGGCACGCGGTGGGGCAGCACACGGAGGCCGGCCGGAGGCGAACGTGGTGCTAGAAGGCGGCGTGGGGAGTGCAAGGGCGCTGGAACAGCGTTCTGGAACGGCTGGGCGCGGAGAACGCACGGGAGGAGGCTGCTCGGGAGTTCACCGGAGGGGAGCTGTGGTTGAGTTAATAGTTTTTTGAACCGTTAAGCCGCACCGAAGCACGCCGAGAGAATCAGGAAGTGGTGAGGAGAAATTCGCACAGAGGATTTCAAGAACTTGATTTCTTCATCATGTTGATGCAAAGGCTCGAGATCGACAAGTTCAAGGGGGAGAATGATTTCAGTCTTTGGAGGATCAAGATGAAGGCGCTTTTGGTTCATCAAGGCCTTTCCGATGCAATCTTTGAAGAAAATCTCGCAGCAATCACCGGCAGAGCCAAGGCTAGAGAAATTCAATTGAAAGCGCACAGTATCATCCTTCTCTCTATCGGAAACGAAGTGTTAAGAGAGGTTGCTGAAGAAGACACGGCATTGAAGGTATGGAGGAAGATTGAATCAATTTATATGAAAAAGTCTCTTACAAATCGATTGTTGTTGAAGAAACAATTGTATATGCTCCAAATGGAAGAAAACCAAGAACTCATAAAGCATTTAAACGATTTCAATAAATTGATTCTTGACCTCAGGAATGTGGATGTGAAAATTGACGAAGAAGATCAAGGGATTATACTCCTCAGCTCTCTACCGAAGACGTATGAAAACATAGTTGACACTATGTTGTATGGTAAGCAAACTTTGACATTAACGGAGGTTAAGTCCGTTTTAATGTCAAAAGATGTTCGAAGGAAATCTGATCAAAAGGAAGACAAGAATGGCAATATTCTGATCGCTAGAGGAAGATCAGAATCACGTAGATTCAATACCAACAGGAAGTGCTATCATTGTAATAAAGAATGGCATATTAAGAGGTTTTGTCCAAATTATTCTCAAGGGATTGAACCAGAAGTTAGCTTGGCCATAGCCGCAGATTTGGGAGACAGTTGGACAGATTCTGATGTTTTGTAAAATCTGAATTAGGGGGGTGATTGTTAGGATTTATTCCAGATTTTATTAGGATTGTTTCTTTTGCTTTCTTTAGTTTCTTTAGTTTGTGTGTGTGGCTTTCCTTATAGCCTATTTTGGTTTTAAATAAGTGCCTTGGGGTTGTAATAGGTATGCCATATTAAGAAATAGCTTTTGCTCTTTTCTGAAAAGTTTTTTTCCAGATTTTCTTTTCTCCAAGAAGCCGAACAAGGCTTCTTCTTCAAGCTCTGGTTTCAAACTCCTTCACTATTTTACAGAACTTTTGGAAGACTCACCGAGTCCTCATCCAATCTTGAAGAAAGCTATCCAACGACTGTAAGAAATCCCAGGCCCGTTATTGCACTTACTGGAACCTCTTGTTCCTCCCATAATCCATTGTATTGTTCAACCAAAATTGAAGTACTTCAGAGTCTTGGGTTTACCGACTCCAGTTGATGCCACACCACCGAATTTTGCTCTTATTGAAAACCCACCATGTTCTCCTGGCATAGTTCAGAAACCAGCAGCCTTTCTGCTACAAATATGCCTTCACTAGACACATAAATGACATCATTAGGCGAAGAAACTTGCATCCTAAAAGCTGCTATTAGTATGACAAGACTTTGAACTTCCAATGAATCCAATTGATTCAAATCAGAATATGGGCCACTCCAATCTTCACTCCATTGATAATGCCACAACTTTGCACATTTAGCATTACAATATTGGGTCAACACACAACATCCTCGGTCGATCCAAACAAAGCCAACTCAGTAGCAGCATTAACTCTGGCATTCAGTTAAAATTAAATCTGCTTGACACATCATATAGTCCAAACTCTTAAACATTGTCACAACCTAATCTGATCAGGACATATTCTATCGTGTTGAACTGTGACACATCACCCCCTGCTTCTTTAATAATTTTAACATGACTACCTTTGATTGGGGGCTTAACAACTGTCTATGCTCTGAACAAAAGAAATATCAATTCTCCTCCTATGTACTCTTTCTATTGTGAGTTTGGAGAAACTCCTTTTCATTTGTTTTTTTAGTGTCATCACTTTTTTTACAACATTCCTTGATTTCTTCCTAAGGTCTCTAATCTTCGCTTGAGGCCTACCATTTTGCAATTATTCTCTTACATTTCATTTTTGAATAATTTTAGAAAAGATGCTAAGAATTACTTGTACTTGGTTACTACTTGTTTTTTTTTTAAAGAAACTCTATGAGATTTGGTGTGGTTACTGATAGTCCTTCTATAACATGCTCTAAGATTAAGAAAGCTCTTTTCCTCAAAACTGTTGAGAAATATTGGGCTCATTAAATAGCTTATTCCTTAACTCTATTTTGTGGGTTTTTTTTTGCTATGATTTTCTGATTTATTTGGTCATACTTGTTCGAGGCCTGGTGCTCCCCTTCATCTTTCGCACCTTCACTATTTTTTGAAGTTATTATTGGAGGCTTTTTTGGAACAATGTTGCTTCATTATGATATTACCCTTCAATGCTACTAACAAGAGTTTTTGATAGATTATAATGAATACTATTCACCACATTTATATCCCTTTGGATGGTCCTTGTGACTAGGGGATTGTTGATCAGTATAAGTTCATGCTCTCATAATCAATGACAGGGTCTTGATCACCTTGTTTTATAATGAGTCCATATTTTATTTGTTTTTTACTTATTTGATTTTTTCCATCAGTGAGCATCGCTATATTTTTTATTTGCAACTCATCTCGTAAGCTTTAGCTATCCTTAATTGTATTTTACTCTATAGCATTAATGTAATTATTTTTGGACAGTTAATTGAAATTAGGCTCTACTATATATATAGCCCAAATCACTCGCCAATATAGGAAGATCGATATACGATTGCCACCGTCTGGTCCTCAGTCAGTCCATGGAAAACCTTACTCAAGAAGACCCCCTCTCTCCGTTCGTTCGCTTCTCATCACCCGGCGACCTTGCCCCGGACCTGCCGTCCCTCCTCGACCTTGCTGCTCGCGGCCAATGGCGATCCGTACTTGATAAAGTCTCCCGCGCCCGCACCACTTCTGTCCTCTCCAAGCCCCACGACCACCTCGTCTACCTCTCCTTTAATGCCCTAGCCCTCCACAAGCTCCGCCGGTTTGCCGATGCCTCCCTTGAGATCGACTCCCTCTCCCCCACTGAGAACAACCCCGAAGACCCTTTCGACCACCCGCGCTTCCTATATGACTCTTACCCCGAAACCTACCCTTCCTTCCGCGGCTCCATGCTCCCCTTTTCTATCCGCCTTCTCTACGCTGATCTCCCTCAGCGCATCGGCAACCGCTCCGAGACCCTTGACCGCCTCTACTCCCTCCTCGCTTTCACTCGAGCCCGATCCGGCGACAGCTGGCGCCGCCGCGAGGCCTTCGTCCTTGGCTCCCTCGCTTGTAACCATTTCATCAACCGGGAATTTGACGTGGCACTCGCTTTAATCCGCGAGCTCCTCGTCGCGAATCCCTCCGATCCGTTTCTTCTATCGCGGCTCGGCTATGTTCAGCTTCAGATTGGGGACTTGGACGGTTCGAAGGAGTCTTTTGCACAGGTGGAAGCGATGAAGTTGAACGGAGCGGAGTTCCATAATTTGGTGGGGAGGAATAAAGCGTTGGGTTATGTAGTCTCGAAAGATTATGTTTCGGCTGTGAGGGAGTACGAGGAGTGCATTGAGAGGGACCCGAGTGATGTGGTGGCGGCGAACAATAAGGCTCTGTGCTTGATGTATTCCAGGGATTTGTCGGACTCTATTAAGCAACTGGAGGGGACATTGGAGAGGGTGCCAACTGCGGCGTTAAATGAGACACTGGTGGTGAACCTGTGCAGCATGTATGAGCTGGCCTACGTTCAACATGGGGATATCAAGAAGAGTTTGAGCAATTGGATTGCTAAGGTTGCACCCGATGATTTCGATCCTTCCTGTACTCGCGTATGAACTAGGTATTCTTGTCTTTTTTTTCTTCTTTGGTGGTTTTCTCGATTGGCTTCATTTCAAGCTCAAAAGCAAGGTCGGTAGTTGTCTATGAAGATTATATCTGCTTGTGATTCAGGGATTTTAATGTAACGATCCTTGTTATTCTTTTTGTGGAAGCACAATTGGAACTCAATTATGAATTGAAGCGCAACGGATGAACAGTAAAGTTGCTTGAAATTTGATTTGTAAACTCCCAAGTGATCACAGACTAGTTTAAATCATACTCCAGGAAGAAAATAGGTGTGTGATGTATCAAAAAATTATATCATGCCGCTGTAATAGCTGAAGTTAGATACTTTTAGTTCCATGATAAGATTTTTTGGATAATTTTATTGAAAATTAAACGGGGTCACCTTACCAAATATTGTTTGGGAACCTCTGAGGCTTTATTTCCTGTGCAGGACTTCCATTTTGGTTGTAATTCCTATTTGTTTTGATCTTTACTTACACTTCTATTTGATAAATTGAAGTTCTTTTTTCTTGCGACCTCTGTGCTATCTAGCTGTAGCTTTATTGTATTCATTGCTTAGAGATTACTAGGTCAGTGACTATAATTGTGCAAGACTTAAATTGGAATATTTATTACATTTGCATGGGTTGATCCCATTGTCCAGGATGAGGAGTATGGATGATATTAACTGAATTGAAGTTTTGAATTGAGTACTGGTAGTGTACACTCATACATGCTACTGTAGAGTGTTTGACAAGTCAGATTAGAAGGACTCGGATCTTATGGGTAATAATAATTATTGCTCGACCGAGACAGCCACCTCGCCCTCATAGGTACTCATCAATTAGAGGAAGTAGCTTGTTGAAGTCGGATAAGTCAAAGAATAGTCGTTAATGAGAGGCATAAAAAACTCGTATGAACCTCAAGACTTCTCTACTAGGCGGAGCAAAACCTCCCGGATAAGAGGCATAAAAAACTCGTCACTCTCTACCATCGGTGTATCAATCATATCAGACACAGCCTCATATCCGTCAGGATTACACATGAATTTTATTTAAAGTAAATCTCATCGATCTATCCTCCTATACATGCTATCATTCATATAGCTAACATGAATCAATCAGTCATCTCTAACCAACCTTTCTTGCTTACATACACATGCATAACATATATATCACTATAATAATATATATATCATGTATATACCAATGTGCATGTCCTAACAGTATAATCATGTTATAATGCATGTTATGTCAAATATGAATTGTAGCCTTTATACATGTTATGTATTTCATGTCTAAACTTATACGTTTTTTTATCCCATTCATTTTAGATAAAATGACACATGCAAAACTATCCAATGAAATTTCAATGTAAAATTAAAACTTTCATAATGAAGATATCTACTACATATCAAAAGTTACACATTGAAAATTTGCTAGATCATGAGATATGACACTTATATCAGACGTAGAAGAGAGAGAATCATAAGAACGAAAATCATTAAAAACATGCATAGGGTAAATGTTACCTATCATGATATGAATAACCTAGCTAACTGAGAGGACGATGAAAATGTTGGAGACCAACTTTCTCTCTTCCCTTTCCTCTCTCTCTCTCTCTTAACCAAATCTTGCAAATGAGGGTGAGCGGGATGGCTTATGGTATTTAAAATGAATAATGAATTTTGATATTTCATATAAAAGTATTTTGATTGTGCTAGTGCTGCAGCACTCCAGATCATAGTGCCACAGTGATTTCCTCAAACAATGTAGACCAGAGAAACTAGAATCGTTGTTCTAAAATCCAACGTTGCTATACTTCATCACCTAGAACCCTCTAAATAGAGAGAGAAGTATTGCTGCACTCATCCATATAGCATTGCAATGTTCGCGGCTCAAATTTTTATGCATGTAATGCTTTCTAATCAGTTTCAAAACAGGTATTTAGCAGTTCATTAATTAATTAAAATTTTTGTCATTACACATGTGACTCACCTTCAAACCGAGGACTAAACCATAGATGAATAACCATATGGGCGTCTATCAAGTCAACATGTGTCATTTATGGTTCATAAGGGGCCATAAAATTTGCACTTTTTAGTCTTCCATGTAGTCCTCAAATCTTTCTAAATAAGGACTAAAGAGGCACTTTTTATTCTCTTTTTCAAGCTTTTGTTATGGTCGTCCCAAGTTCCCATATTCTTGTTTTTTTAAGGCTGTCGCTAGTAAAGTTAGGTGTCATTTACAGGCATATTTGACTCGAACATGTAGTCTTCAACTGCAAAACATTCTCGAATCATCAGTCCAATAAAGTAAAATATTTATCAGTACTGCAAAATTAATCTTATGTCTTCGTGTTAGTATGATTTCCATCATATATTTTTTAAATTTTGATTATATTTTAAGTATTTTATTTTATATACATTATAATAAATTTAGTTTTATAATTTTGTTGGAAAGGGGTGGATTTACGTATATACCACTTAATATTATGTTATTTACATATCTAATGCTAAAGAATTTAATATTTTATGCCTATCATTCATAGATAATTATAACATCAAATATCACACACTTATATTTTATATATGAATATGTTGAAATTTCCTATTATTCCTTACTCTTTACGAAGCAGCAAGAAAGAAGAAATTTCTGAGTAGAGATATGAGAAAATCAATGAGCTGCTACAGCTACATAAGAGAGGGCTTACTAAGGAGGAGACCCAAATGAGCCAACATTTCAGTATCTTATAAGAGACCGAGCAGGAGGTAAAAAAAAGAAGATGAAAGATGGTTACTCTTTCAGTGCTGCATGAAGCACAGAGGGTAAACATTAATTTAGATCCAGTAAGAGGTACTGGCACTATGGTGAGAGCTAGTCAAATGTGATAAAACTGAAGATCTGATCACTAAAAATTTCATCTAAAACCTTCTTATCAAGCTAAATGAGGGAGAAAGCGTCGCCATTGTCAATATTACATTAATTGGTAAATGCTTCATGGTGTTAACAACTTTGCAGAGAGAATCCACCCCCAAAACATAAAGCATTGGAATTAGATATAGACCAAACAGTTGCATGTGAATTTCAGCGAAGTGCTCAACATACCAGAATTATGAAGAATACTTCAAACACTCTTATGAAGGAGAAATTATTAGGTGCGGACAATAGACATAGAGATGGATTACTTGATGCACTGCGTACGCTCTGCTTATATTTTGCGTATGCTCTGTTTATACTCTGTGTATTTGTGGATACACAATAAATATGCAGAGCATAGGTAAACTTTAAGCATAGAATATGCAATAGTCCGGACATATTTCTACCTAATAATTTCCCCTTCATTGATAGGTTTGTGGAGCTCCTTTACGCTAGTTCTCCAATGGAAAATGTATTAGGTGCTTAAGAGAGAGAGAGAGAAAGAGAGTTCTGAGCCAGTAAAAACTGTTATTAACGATAAAATTTTGAGTAAAAAATCTGCCATCCCTCTAGCTTTATTAAAAAAGCTTACCAAAAATAAAAATCTCACTATTTTGACAAAAAGAATTAACATAAGAATGATCAAGTATAATACACAATTACTCATAATTATTGAGCTTTCTAATGCCCTCTCTTTCTCTCATTTTTAGCACAAGTACATCAACGTTTTTTGTGGTGATTGGATGACAACCCTTTTTAAAATAAAATCAGTTATATTATCTGATATAAAATTGAGAATTCACACATGAGATGCCAATACATTAGCCAAAAAAAGAACCTTAATTTACACAAATGATCACGTTTAACTACATTGAAACTATAGAGTATAATATAACATAGCCTGGCTCTTCAACTAATTGAAGTCATCTGGTTCTTGTGTGAACTAATAAATTGTATAAAATATGATCATCCTAACCTTAGCAATAAGTGCTCAAAGTTAGAGAAATTATTCCTTGCGGAGTCTGGATGGAAAGAATTATTCGAACTTGTGAGTGTACACGCTGTTTACAGTATATATTAATTTTTATACAGACTGTATATATACTCACAGTCCGAACGATTCTTCATATCCAAACACCGAACAAAATAATTTCTCCCACACTTGGTGTTTTGAGGAGGCTTAGACGCCGAAAGGCTTCAAGCATAACAGTCAAGTTTTGCTCTTTTGGATTGAGACTGCTGCATCCAATCAAGGCATTCCTCTGCAGTGGCATTGGGATGAGCGAGCTGCCACTTGATCATCCTCTGTTGCTGAAAGAAGAAAAGGAGGTTATATAAAGAACGTTATTTTTTTTCCTTAGAAGATCAAATATTGTCATTACCCATTCCCGTATAAGGGGACCTCCGCCTTTCAGCTGTAGAACACCCATTATTGCCTTTCCATCAAGCAATGGCTTCACTTCCCATGCATTGTCAAGGCCTGCAGAAAAAGATCCAAAGCTGTCAGGGACTTTGTAGTTGATTGTATGTTAAAAATAGTTTAGAAAATGATGCGAAAATTTTATGTTTGCGGGGGTATGCTGGAGAAATTATTCTGAGGACACTTGGACAGTCCGGAGATTAATTGAAAAGTGTCACATCACTCGGTACCGAGCAAAAAAAATGTTGTGCCACGTTCTGGTTGGTCTTTGGACACCGTTCGGCATCCGCACAGAATAACTTTTCGTATGTCTGAGTTTAAAATTCAGGTTGGGTTTTTTATTACAAATTATAAAATGTTAGAAGGTAGCAAATTTTATTATTATTTTAAAAATGGGTTCTCTAACTACAGTCAATCAAATGAGCTCTTAATGCACTATTTTGGATTGTCTCTTTCATAAAAAAAATTTGGCCAAATATCATCCAATTTTTTGTTACAATAATAGCCCCAATGAGGGATAAGCCCCTATAATCGTAAATATTCCTTTAAGATGAAAAATCAATCTTCTTTCTTTATCAACATAAATTATATTTCTTTATTGATATTGAGTTTGCTTAAGTCCAACTTAATTAACCTATTTTGCAAGCTGATGAAGATTTGCAGCAGTCGATGAATCATTTAAGGAACTCAAAATGATATTAATAGGAACTTAATTTGAATTCAAACTAGTTTGAACCTATAGCTTCACATTGAACTCCTGCTCTCAGCCTACAATGCACTAGGCATCAACTCTTTCTTCCCTCCGAACCTGCTCCCAACCCACAGTTCCTCAATGAGTACCCCAAACCTACTGTGCTTGATGTTAATAGTGACAGATCATTAACATGAAAAAAAAAAAGTCAAATGCAAAGTCTAAATCGCATTAAATGCCAAATACCTCATTTCGTCGAAAGCCTCGGACCTCGTATCTCTGCTAAATCCCATGAAATCCACTAAACTTTGGTCGTCAATCCTGGCCTCGATTGCGTGGATTGCTTATGTTAAAACGAGAGTATGAAGTAGCTCATTTGATTTTTTTTAATTTGTTATTTTCCCAACTCCAAAGCTCCTCTCTACTTCCTCATCTTTCTGTCAATTCCCTCGCACACATCGTCTGCACTCGATGACACCCTCCCATAGTTGAAGCTCAAACCGATCGACATGTCTGGCATCTTCCAATTCCTCCATTTGAACAAGCCGCATCTAACCTGTCAACCCCAGCCCTCGACGGAATTTGTATATGATGCCCTAGAATCTAAATTGGAAGAATTATTTATTTATCCTTTAAATAAATAACTAGAACTATCTAATATCATTTATTAGTAATAAACATCAAAACAAATTCTATAATTTAAAACATCAATATACACATCTATATTCATTCCCAAAACTAATATACACTACTCAGGCCTATAACAAAAAGAAACAGAACCTAAAGAATCCTGATTAGCCTCAAACTCCTGCTCCCCTGCCCTGACCTGAAATCATTTAACCACATATAATGAACTTAAAAAGTCCAGCAGATCACCAAAATCTATAATTAAATTCAAAGCACGGTAAAGGAGCAATATGCATGTCAACAGTCAAATCATGACAGTTACATTCATATGAACATTGAATTAGTGCAATAATAATAAAACTCAAATGCAGTAGCAGTAGAATCTGTAAACAATAAAACACTATAGTATAAAAGCTAGTAAACCAATACGAGTGTTAAATTCATAAATTAATCATGTCTCCGTAATCGAATAAAACATCAAATCAAAATAAAGACTGTCAAAATCAAATCAATGTAGTAAAATTATATAATAATGTACACATGTTATCCAGACATTCTATATCACGTGCTCAATGTATTACATGCTGAATATTAGTACAGTGAATCAGTAGTATCAAATAGTATCAATATCTATATCAATAACAATCAAGGAGCATGAGCAGTAAAATAATACAATAATAGTAAATTCGTACAGTAATAATAAATCCGTATAATAATAAGAACAATGTCTCAAAAACATGCATTTCAGTAGTTACACTAAACAAGTAAGAAGTCATGGCTATCACGGTGTTTTTCAGTTTCAGTATCAGTGTTAGTAAATTGTTGGCTCAGTAAATAGAGTCATCACTCTTTGTCCGTCGGCACGGTAATAATCTCCTTATAACTCTAAATCAATGTATCACGTGAATCAATAGATGATAACACAAAACCACAGTATTTAAAGGAAAGCTCGTTGGCCAATCATCCTATACAGGACAATCAGTCTCCAACCAATAGGTCAATCAGTCTTTACTTGTTTGTTTCACACGCATATATTTTTATCATAATACTATAACAGAAATTGTGATAAGTTATTACTCAAGCACATATCCACATCTATTTTCAATTCATTGCAGCAAATAATGCATAATTGAGCTTAATTAAGATGTCAAAATGTCATAAAACATTAGACATAAAAAAATCCTATTAGACAAAAATGCACATTTTCAAAAAATTACCAAAATAATAGGAATTGTATAAAACAATATTTTAAAACTTTTATTGTACTACACTACTATTTTTAGAGATCAAAATAAAATTTGAGCAGGCAAAAATCGTTGTATTTTCAAAACCACATGACAAAAAATCTCAAATAAATATTCAAAATGCTCATAATCATGATCTTTATAATATATAAAAAGTTACGCGATAGAAATTTTGTCAATACAAAGTTATTCACATTTTTCAGTAACAGAAATACAAATTTTAGCAAAAACATACCAAAAACACAATCTTTGAAATCAGAAATAGGATATGGATTCCTTACGGCGAGACGAGCAAATTTCCCAATAGCATCGACGGATGAAAATCGCACCACGGCCTCCAAATCTAGGTTTCTTCTTTCTCTATCCTCTCATTTCTCTTTCATTTTCCTTGGCTCATTCTCTGTGAGCCGAAATCAAATGGGAAAAGGTTTTTTAATAAAAAACAATGTTAAGTGGCTTGTCCAGTGTTTTGGATCGTTAGGGTTGAGTCATTGGCTATGGAGACAGAGTCGACATCTTGATATGAGGAAGATTGCTGCAGATTTACAAGATCATGATTGAGATGAGTGGAATCTCCGGAGTCAAGAACTTAGTGCTGGGATGGGGAAGAAGGTTGCTGAGTGAACATTACTCGCGGTGTCCAATAGGTGGTGGGCGCATATTTTGGGTTACATCTGTGCCAACAGTGAAGGGCGAAATGCCCAATTTTCCCACAAATTTGGCACGTTGGACGCGTGGAGCTAGTGGTCGTTGATTGAGGAGATGTGGCAAAAGATGAATGAGGAGAGAAGTTTCAACCTCTGGGAGGTCGGAATGAGTTGCGACTTTTAGTGTTGCTCGTGCGATTTGTATAAAGAGCAGTTTGATCAGAGGAGAGGTTGTAATCTTTTAGTTGTTCATCGTGGATGTTGATCTCCTCGTTGCAGAGTAGACAGTAGAGAACATCAAGATCAATTGGATGCAGAGCTGTGCGGATAATAGTTTTGAACGAGTTGTAGGTGGAGGGAAGACCGTTGAGAATGTAAAGAATAATACCTTCGGTATCGATCTTGGAACCAACTGCAGCAGTGTGATCAACAAGAGTTTTTATTTGGGCTAGATATTGTTTCATTGAGTGATCGCGCATTTGAACATTTTGAAGCTTGTTTTTGTGTTGGATCACCCTAGAGCAGCTCGTTGCTTGTAAGCGGCGTTCAAGAACTGTCCAGATTTCTTGTGTTGTGGAGGATGACTGAACGTAAGGGAGGATCGAAGGGGATATAGTAGAGAGAAGGGCGGATATCAGGTTTCGATTGATTAAACACCAAAGATTGTAGTTGGGATTGGAGGTGTTGTTGGGACGAGGAGTGGCGCCGGTGTGATGTCAGACAAAAGCCATTGGCGGAGAAATGTTGAAGGAGTTGAAGACGCCATATGGCATATGTGTCGGCGGTGAGCTGAGTGGGAACCAGATTTTTGAGGTTGGAGATCAAGAATTTGAGGGGAGCCGGAACGATGAACTCGAATAGGGAATTAGAGAGATGGGATGTGGGTGGGTGGGATGCCGCTTAATCTTGATTTGCCATTACTGCTCTGATACCATGAGAATGCCGCAGAGAAAGAGAGATGGAGAATAGGGAAGAAGAAGAAGAAGAAGAAGAACTATTGTATTATTATTATCTATGTATTGTACAGAGAAAGCATGTATATATAGCAATGTAGATGATAACAAGATACAAGAAATGAATGAGATGATTACCCGTAGGCAGCTTGAGGAGTACGGTGCTAACAGAGTGTTCGTGTGCCAGCATGGTCCCAATGAAGTTGAAGGTGATATGGAGGCAAAAAGGATTGGAGAAGTACAATATTTATGGCATGGGTAAGATAAAAATTTATAGATCTCAGACCTCATTTTATGCAATTTTTTTTTTCTTTTGATAAAAGTCACAAGTAATTAATTTTTAGCTAACTAAAAAATATAAAATTTTTGCAAAAAATTGTAATCTTGCTATGATAATCGCATAATATAACAATAAATGACTGCGGTATGAAAAAACTCCAAATAAGAAATGCAAATCGTAAAGAAGTCAACTCACCCAAATCAGTAATGATCCTCTCAACGTTTGTGAAAATTTCTTTTCTTCTTTCTGATTCCTTGTTCAGAGAATCACCAACAATTTCATCTATTGGACGCAAGAGAGTGGACATCAACAATGCCACGCGCCAAAAGCTTTTTATTTCACGCAGAAGCAATCCTAAGTTAAATGAATTAATTAAGAACCCAGAACAAATATAAGCTTGAACTTTAAATAGAATACAGAGAATCCGTAATTAAGCAAGTCAAATAAAATTAGAAAAATTCAATTTCAAGCTCATGCTCGACTTCCAACATCAAAATAGTGACTTTTCTTGTTATCAAGAAAATGGAGAGAGTTGGACAACAAGCCTGACAAGCAGGAAGTAAACAAGGGAAGCATTGACAAGGAATATGGAAAAGAGAGCTTAAAGAAATACAAGCACATAGTAGGAAGAAAGTGTAGGATATGAGAGGTAATGAGATTGCCTACTGGTCAGAGAATTGGAAAGCAGAAAGGGTCAAGTGTAGAAGGAGAATGTAGGAGGAAGAGAGCATTAGATGGAGATAGCAGCTGGGTCAGCCGGATAAATGCGGCTGTCAGGAAATCAGTGGTGTTCAAAAGTTGACCGCTCTCATACAAAAGGGATGAGGGACCTCTAGGAAGAAGGCCTTAAAGTGTAACCTTTGAAATGCCCAATTCAGAGACCACGAGGATTTATATCTTCTGCCAAAATAGCCCTGCTCTGAGGACAATACGTTTGACAGAAACATTAACTCTACTAAGGAGATGCAGATTAAGAGGGTCGTGTATTTGATATGAATGGCATCTCTTTGTAAAATTCATGCAATCTTGTGTAATAGTTAGTATTTTTAGTTTCATCATAGGACAAGGTGAGCCTGACATAGTCCTTCATGGACTTCTCAAATGACGTTATGAACTTCTGTCTAATCAAGACAACAAAATCACATTTGATTGAGTGAGCAAAGGTATAAAATATCATTAATTAATGTATAGGATAACGCTCTCTTTTTAATTTGAAAGGCAAAGGAACGGTCATAATATAATAATAACTGATATAAACCCCAAGATGTCAATCCGAATGGTCAAATATATAACTTGAAAACTTGATGAACTTAACCAGTTCTAGAAGTGGATGTTAATGATTTCATAAGAATTAAGTGCTGGTGCGAACAAAAAATCAAGGCAGAGATCCTAGATTCTGCACTGGTACATGATCATTGCCATTTTATAGTGAACTAGTATAGAGAATATGAAACTGATTCAATGAATTGATAGCAAATTATCCGGCAAATGAAAAACTTTGGATGAGCTTTCCATCTACCTGCCAAGACCCGCTTCCTTGAAGTTGGTGGTATGTCAAGGAATTCATCATCGAGATTGACTTCAGCTAGTACAGGCTCTCCGTCTGATTCCATGAAGGGGAATAATGAAATAAACCTCTCAACGGCAACATGTAAAGACACCACCTAGAACAAATTTCTTGAGGAAGACTATTACTTTGATGATGAAAGTAAAGAAGTACACCAACTTCTAAAAGAAACATGTGATTTCATTGAGAACGAGTATAACTAACCATTTCAGCATCATTAGCTTTAAGCTTCAGAGAATTTCGGATGATAAAGTTGGCAACTGGAATCTACAAATTAGGTATCACTAAACATTGATTCAGAATGAAACTTAATAGTGCCCTTATGACAGAATCAGAAAAAAACAATGACATAATTATGTTGGATGAAATCAAAAAGCAATATGAAATTATAAACTAGTTAGCAATCAGAAATTGAAGATACGGAATATAATATAACGCAACCATATGGTAACGCATATTTTATATTTCTGCAACAGAAGTTAATATATTTAAGAAAAATCATTATTGAGGTCTTCCATAGAAATTACAGTCCACATGGGACCTGTGATAAATGGCAGATTTATAGCTAATGAAAAGAAAGATACCGGTGCAAACGTAATTTTCATGATTCTGGAAAAAAGTAGGCGTCTATGTATTGAAGCACCCACTTCAAATGTTTTTGCTTAATCATAAAACTTGGGAAAATGGATCCATTTAGAGATTGTATCAAACACTGATCTGCTTGACGTAAGAATTAGTGGAAGCTGCTTCGCTTTCTTAATATTGTTTATCAGGAAAACCATAATAGGGTGTTTGCAATATATGGCGAGGAGATAAATTCTTCATAATTTTTTGCATGGGAAAAAATGGACAATAGGTTAACGCTTGGCACTTTAATCTCTAAATGGCAGATTCGAAAAAATCTTGAGGGAAAATACTACTGACAAGTTTGATTGGAATATCAAATTCTCAAGGAACAGCTCAGAGGAAGCAGTAAAATGGTGAAATATTGATCAGGCTAGGAAGCACATGAACTACTAAACCATATTGCCTGGAACTCATTTTAACCAACGAGCACACACTAGCTATGATACAATATTAAATAAGAAAATAGTGATGTTAATACTAAATGCATTCATAAAGAAGGTGATGGTATGCTAAATGCTTTCATAAACCTGTAAATACAATAGGTAGTGGTGCGGGCATCAAAAAGTCTAGGATTTCTATTACAAATTTAACATGAAATATAAAAAAATGACACTACAAAAACACAGAATTTACTTGTCAAAAACTCCTAAAAATGATGGAAATCAATTCAAATGAAAATCCAATGGCCTCCTGCTCAAAATTTAGTGCAAAGAAAATCACAACTACTTTCAAATCCACACTTTCGTTAAAAGTCAGGTTGCATCAAATTTGATTAAAATCAATCACACTTTCAAACAAGTCTTAAAACTAGATTTTGGTTTTGGTTAATACAAATCACCAAACGTGTCAAGGTCATCTCTGTATTTTTAGAAACTTAAGAAGCAATCAAGCAACCCCATTAAAATCCAAAGAAAACACTTCAGCCCAAGCAGACCATGTTTAATAATTAACACTCATAATAAATAGGCAGAAGCATAAAAAATATATATATTGAGAAAAGGACCGAATTGGTCCTCTAACATTTTCTAAATGACCATACTAGTACTAACATATTAAGGTACCAATTTGTTCAATTGAATCTTTAAATAGGGATCAAATTATTCCTTCCAGGAGATCATTTAGGTCCCTATTTAACAAGTCAATTGACTAAAATGGGACTTTCAAATAGTCGGGAACCATTTTAGTCTTTCATACAAATATCAATGGATCAATTTGATCTTTTCCTCAAAAAATATTAAAGCAACAATACAAAAGTACCATATGGTCCAATAGTTGAATTTTACTAAATGCAATAAAGAGGGGTGAGGATGTAATGTTAACTAACAAAATCTTAACTTTAAAAATACAGAACCCCATTAGGATGATGAAAAACTGCTTGAAAATTTTGTTTTTGCCTCCAAATGAGAAAGTGCATTCGATTTGTTTGCACTTTTACCTCATTTTTGTTGACTGAAGCTCAAAGGGTTCAACAATTTGTGTTTGTCTCTCTCATGGAGCAAAAGCCAACATGTATCAACAATACCTGTCTTTCGTAGCATGATGGGGAAGCAACCCCAATCATTTAATGTAATTTTACTGACATTATACAAGAATATTCAAAAAGCACATATTTCTCGTGCGGGTGACCCATGCTCCTTGGCATGGTGGAGAGAAGACACACGTGCCTTTCTTGGTCGATGGTAAGGAAAACATGAGCCGCCAACAATAAGTACCCATATGTGTCTTTCTCGACACAATGAGACATTGTGTGCTATAAATCTTTTATGCAGTTTCGAAGAACAATATACACCTTTGTTAACATCGTAGGGGATTAAAAACTGGATTGTAGTGTTTACATTACTTATACACATCTTACTTAGCATAAGGGACGCTGATAGGATTCCGAATTTTCCATTAAACCGAGCTTGCACAAAACTTGAAAAGAAAAAAATGAAGAACTTTCTTGACACAATGTAACAAAAAATTTAATGAAGTTGAAAGAATGCAAAGTTACAAATTCAAGAAAATGAATATTTAAAAATGTGAAATATGTAACAAATTTGAACACAAAACAAGACTTACAAGAAACTTAAAACTTAACACCAAGCATGAACAAGATCTTTCATTGACCATTCAAAACCCTATGATGTTTGAAATGAAGATTCACTCCAAAAATTTCTAGGCAGCTTTTCTATTTATAAGAGAATAACTACTCCCTTGCTTGAATGGAATGAAGGTTAAATATTAAAAAAATTATGACATTTTAAACACAACAAATTTCAAAGTGGTTACAAACACCGTTGAATTCGTAATGTGTATGTGCAAGTGAACATAAGACGATTTGTTAAAATTCAAATTGAAACAATTTTATTGATAATGTTTGCGCAAATAATTAAAGTTCATATAATTTTCAAATCATTTATACGCATCAAGAGAGCTTCCAATTCAAATAAAATGCCTTGGGAGGCGTGCAAGTTCATTGGAAGTCATATAAGCGCAATGTAAAGCATGCACGCCATCCTAGAGAAAGAACCAAGTTGCCAAAATCAACAATGTGCAAATGCACCAAAAAACGTACAAATGCAATATGCAAATGCATTGAGAAGTGTGCAGACGCATCATACAAACACACCAAAAAGTATGCAAGCGCATCGTGCGGACAAACCAAAAAATATGCAAGTGTATTGCACAAATACACTAAAATATATATAAATGAACTTTACAAATACACCAAAAAATGCAAATTCATCATGCAAGTGTATTGAAAAGCATGCTAGTGCTCTGTTTAAAATTGCGCAATTAGAGGCGCGCCTCTGCGCAATTCCTCCCAAAAACGCCTCGGAATCTATGCAATTCCACCTCTGTAAGAGGCGTACGCCTCACTGGGACTGAGGCGCGCCTTAGAGGCGCAATTGCACAATTCCTGGTTAGGCGTACGCCTCACTGGGATAGGGCCCACTCACTTAAATTGAATCCTTTTCTCCCCCTATACCCGAAGGCACCCGATTTTTCCCCCTTCAGTTCGCGAAACAGAGCTCCCGCAC